ATGATTTCTTTGAAATATAATGTTTAAGTCACAGTTGTACAGTATACCATACAATTATAATGGATCTCCCAGCCTTCAAACCGGCGGCATACTGCTTCTTAGCAGGAATAGGTGTTTCTATTTTTTCCCTACCTATTCTTTAGTAACCTAAGATGCTATTCCAGCTACGTCCGAACGGGTTGGTGAGCTCACGGTTTCGCTATCAGAATTTGCTAACACTAGCCCTAGCAAGAGTAGTGCTTCGCAGTATCTACCGCCGGATCGGAATCGCGACCCACTGAGAATATCCAGCGAGAAACTCAGCGGGCTGTGTCTATAGGTTAGTTTGCTCTTCGTCGTAATCAATAAGTTCGACGAGGAGAGGCCTAAAAGCACCGAGAGTGAATCCAGTGGTTCCGACAAGACATGTTTCGGGCGAAGGTGGGCTTGCGTTGCTCCGTCGCGGTCGGATAAGAAATAGGTGTCTAGCGGGATCTTCTCACCTAAATAGTTTGAAGTCGTCGTGGCCTAAAGGATAAGACGTCCGGTGCATTCGTATCGAGCGATGCACCGGTGTTCGAATCCCGCTGGCAGGTACCAATTTTTCTAATGAATTACGTACTCAACAAATGTTCACGATTGACTTCCACGGTGAAGGAATAACATCGTGCAATAAAAATCAAACCCGCAAAATGATAATTTGCGTAATTACTGGTGGTAGGACCTCTTGTGAGTCCGCACGGGTGGGTGCCGCCGCCCCGCCTATTTCTGCCGTGAAACAGTAATGCGTTTCGGTTTGAAGGGTGGGGCAGCCGTTGTGACTATACTGAGACCTTAGAACTATATCTCAAGGCGCATTTGCGTTGTAGAGGGGCTCCAGTAACCACTTAATACCAGGTGGGCTGTGAGCTCATCCACACATCTAAGCAATAAAAAAAAAAAAGTAAATATATTCAGTACAACATGTGATTTTTATCATCTCAACGTCTTTTATCATTTCATTACGTATTTCCGTAAAAGTATTGTAAAAGATGTCTTGAGGTCTGGCAGTTGGTTTTACTTGGAGGTTCGTCGTGACGATAAGAGGATCCTAGGTATTAGATGAGCGCTTTGTCGTTTTTTGTACAAGGCCTTGATGTGCTAAATTGACTTATACTTGACTATTACTTATGACTTGACTTATGACTTAAATTGACTATTGACTTAAATTTTGGATGACATAAATATTAATACTTCTTTTAGAATTAATCTTCTCCTAAATTTTAATAACCTTTTCAGAGTTAAAGGGCTGATTGTATTACTCTTTATACTTTTTTACAATGCTGAGTGTCACGTTGGTCAAATAATTTGTGATATTCCAAATTTTGGAAACATTGTAAAACATTGTTGTATTTACTATAGAAGATATACCCAGCGTTGCCCGGGTCATTTCAGTCATCATGATAAAAAGGGTCCTGTGAATTCATCCAGATTATAAACTATTTTGTATGCGCCATTGTGTCATTTTTGCATGATCGCGCTAACGTTAGATATATGTCTTTTTTTTTACCATCGCTTCACTTTGTAGTGCCTCAGTCGATAAATAAAAGACCTAAACTATTGTATAAAATCGACTTAAAACAAAGAATCCGTTCGACGGGGGAAACATAAAAAAAAAACGAAATTGTTATTTTTATTTAATTCCGAGCATTTTTATATTTACCTACTTTTTAAACCTTCTCTGGACTTCCACAAATAATTCAAGACCAAAATTAGCCAAATCGGTCCAGCCGTTCTCGAGTTTTAGCGAGACTAACGAACAGCAATTCACTTTTATATACATAGAAGATAGATATTATAGATTAATTGCAGCAAGTAAGAATAACATTTATCGACTGTCCGTTTTTGTAACTGTCAAAAAGCATCCAACGCCTTTCTTCGTTTTAGCCTACGGTTTTAGCTCAATTTTGTTCCTCCCGGTATAGTACATACATATATTACAATGTAGATGTTGAAAAGAAATGACATTCAGATTGTCGATTTTGTTTGTTTTCATTTAAGATTAAGATCATAGATTTATTCACTACGAAAATAGCGTGACACTTTTAGCTTGTATTCATACAATAAAAAATAATAAGGAGAAGTATTTTGAACGGAGTGGTACCAACTAGCAGTCAAACACAATAATTCCAACATAAAGCAAAATAGCACGCACGTTATGTCGTAAATGTGTTGTTGCAATCGTGTAAAACTGACATAAACTTGTGCAGGAACTTTAATACATTCAATTCGTTTTCAATCTAAAGCATATGTTTTATGTGAAAATTATTCGAAATATAACTTATGTTTGTAATCAACAACTCTATTCGGCATTTATTAAATCAGTTATCATAAAAACAATCATTCTTTAGCGTTGTTACTGGTGTTTTGATACAGGTAATGCAACCTTGATTTAATTTATGTGAAGCTTAAACCGATGGGCTTCATACAAGGTGAGCCGTAAGTTCATACGTATACCCATACCAACATAGAAACTAAACTTATTTATTTTAATGATACTCAATAAACCCAAGATTAATCATTTGAAAAATGAAAATGAGCTTTCATCTTGAAACATATGAGAAAGTTTTCTTTTAGTCTGTATGGCCACCAGGGGTCTGTCGAAAGAAAGTAAAGGGAGGGGAAACATATAATTGATGAAGCCGACGTGAGATCTCTTGGCGGTTAATCTCCGACTACGTTTGACAAGACAAACTTTATCTACTCCCAGGACGAAAAGGTCTCACCTTGACCTAATCTAATTCCTAAGCGATGTTTTTTTTTTTATAAATATGAAAAAGGGATCGAGAGCTAAATTTAGTTCTCTAGTTCATACCAAAAACAGAGGAGCAGATCATAAATCCTTGTCTACAAAACGGAAAGAATCTTTATAATAAAACAAAGAGACAAACAAAAGAAAAACATGAGTCTGCTCAGAAATGATAAAAACTGAAAAGTAGGCGCGCTCATTAAGTGGGCAATTTAAAAGCTCATTACTCCGTCAAACGTCCTCCATTCAGTCGTATGCGCTAAACAATCAACGCAGACGGTTCTTCATCATTTAACTTGCCATTGTTGGCTTCTCAATTATAATTTAATTCATTTCCCTCAGAATTTCGTCAAACAAAATACCGATTGGGGAGATTTATTAAAGTCGTGACAAATTACAGCGTAGAGAGTGACGACTGACTTAAATGCACATTCATAAAAAATATTTTTTAGAATAACGTTTCGGACTACGTTTCCAGCCCACGTTTAACAATATTTACATGACTAATGGCTCTCAATTTTACATAAAAGTGCAAAAGCGAGTGAACTAAGGTACACCAGTGAAGTGGTCCAATTTGCATGTTTTATGCAAGCGGCGAGTGATGCAGCCGCGGTCGCACATTGCACCTCCATACAACCACTTTTAATTTTTTATNTTTTTAGAATAACGTTTCGGACTACGTTTCCAGCCCACGTTTAACAATATTTACATGACTAATGGCTCTCAATTTTACATAAAAGTGCAAAAGCGAGTGAACTAAGGTACACCAGTGAAGTGGTCCAATTTGCATGTTTTATGCAAGCGGCGAGTGATGCAGCCGCGGTCGCACATTGCACCTCCATACAACCACTTTTAATTTTTTATATACCATTCCCGCAAATCGGATAACCGTACATAACATACGCCGCTAAAATGGGCGAGTGCTGTGCGATTTCGGTGTCCGTTTTTTGTAAGGTATTTATCGAACTTACTTAAAAAAATCAAAATTCTATCTAAACTTTGATTGATCAAACTATACTAGTGTATCCGATTATCTCGTGATAAATCAGACAGTGAGAATTACATTACAACTACTAGCTAGAATTCCTTCTGGCACGTAGTTTTTTACGAATGCCACTAACGGATGCGAGTACGTTTTATAATACACAAAAGTACATCGTCAGAATACAGCACTAGCTAAATTGCGTTGTTCGTTTTATTGCAAGTGCGGATGGCGAAGCTCTCCAGAATTATTTACTAGGTATGTGGCAGCACATGCACTTTATTCCATTCACCGATTTTACTATTGAAACGTTTGTGGAATTTTCGCGAATTGTAGACGTCATTAAAAACATCACATGAATTTATTTCGTCATTGCTTTGATTAGAACCGGATAATCGGATGGAATTCGAAAATGAATGAATTTTACTAAATTACTTTTGACAATTTGTTCACGCCTTCATTTAGGTTTCACACTTCAGTGCTTCATTCCAACAGTGAAATCGTCATTCTAACAATCTCTTATTTACTATGTACAACATGTTTTTTTTTCAACTAATTTACGCAAAGGCTCAAATAAGTTTCACCTTTTCAAATAATGAAAATAATAAAAATGTCGTTATTTAACTTAATATTTAAATATAGAAATACTTCTAAAGAAGTACACTCAAATATTCAGTCAATCGATACGAATTCACTCAGCAAATATTAGATTAAACTTTTTAATAGAATTTTTAGATAGGTGCCCTGATAGAATTTTTTCAATTTAAATTTCTTTGAATTCCCTATTTTTGTCATATTTCAAAGAATCAGTATTCTGTGCAGTTTTATTACCAAAATCTTTGAAGTAGATTGAAGGAATTTCTTCAAGAATAATTTCATTGAAATTATTGCATTGAAATAAACTGCTGACGCCATACAACATTGTAAGTTCAACTAGACTCAAGTCAATATCAGTCAGTATATCAATAATTAATGAAAACATGTAGTTAGTTAAGAAGCTTCATATAATAAATATTTCACATCAACAATGTCGATGAAGATATTTGCCCTACATAGATGAAATATGTTTAGTGAAACTATTAAATTTAACTAATTAATTTTCATTACACAGAAATCTCGAATACTAATTAGGTTGATAACTAAAGCTAAAAATAATTTTTAGCCAGTTCATATTTTGAGTTTTGTATATGGATTTTAACGAAATAATATATTATATATTTATTAATCAAGTTTAATTTTTATTAGGTGGCATCATGTTGGGTTTGTACATATGTATTAAGTAATATTAAAGTCCATTAATCTATTTCAAGTTTCTTGAAAGATGTTTCTACATTAGAGAAAAACGAGGAAATTGTTTTTGGTCCTCCAGGACGTTTCGCTTCGTTGACTCTTTTCTTGGATTCATCTTCAAAAAACTGTCTGTTAGCTTTTAATTTTTTCAATATATTTTCTGTAAATTAAAATATTTTTATTCAATACTATAACTATAATAAAGTACATGGAGTTTAAATTAAAGATCAGACACAATTCCAGGAGCTTGGCTTAGAGAAGTTTATTATTAGAAACTCATATAAGAAAGCCAAAAGATACTTTTTTTTTTAAGTAGGCTTTTGCATCCATATTACATACATTACATAACCCAGTCATCAAATCTGTAGAGTAGGCATTTAATATTTTATTTTATTTCGAAATCAAATCAAGACTCAGCTCCGCAGCACGTCTTCTCCATTTAAGATTCTTTAAAATTTCAAAATACCTTTCAATATGATCCCAGTACTTTCTTCTGGCAGTGCGGCAATCGGAAAGTATTCTTCAATTGTCTTAGAACCAGCTTCGTGTACTTTGATAACATTTAAAAACGTATCCTTCATAAGCGGTCTTATCATCATCATTAATTTATCCATATGACTCGGTGCATTAATGAAATGAAACTCTTTTAGTTTCACTATCATACCTTCCTGCGAATAATAAGAGAACTTTTATTTCAAATTTCGGTTGGTAAAATATTTATTATACATCACATTCGTTATGATTGATGAACATTATGCTTGTTTTTAAAGCAGCATAGTTCGCTTGTTTCTTCAACTGAATATAAGCTTTGTTCGGTTTGTTGATGTTGGTGTACGAGTCGTTCCAAAAAATCAGTATACTATTTGAATTTACTGATAGTAGGGCTGTACTGTGAGTCTGCACGGGTATGTACCTACAAGAGCTCAACTTGCCGCGTAGTAGTGATACATTTCGGATTGAGGGGTGGCACAACCATTAATAAGATTGAATCTTCGACCTCATTTCTCGACGTGGGTAGTGGCATTCAGCTCGTGATGCTTGTGAGCTCCGGTAGCCGCGTAAAACCAGGTGAACCATGAGCTAGTTTTCCCAACTAGTGTAATAAAAAATAGAGATGCTCGTTCAAGAGACGCCGATACGTGGCAAGAATTTATTCGTTTTAAATAAAAGTTATCGTTATTTTTAATTAACTCAATAGAGACGCATCACTCGCGAGCACGAGAAATGTTTCTCAATTAAGGCCCGCTTATTTTTAGAATGCTTGTAATACACGACTCGGGGATGCTTAAAACTCATAACAAAAGTCCCTAAAAAATAATGTTCGTCACGGTCTACAGTGCCAAAACAAATACCAGATAAAAACATCTTCCCTTTGTAGTTTCTTTTAAACTAGGGACCGGCGATGGAACAAACAAAATACACCATTACCGCAACTTGAGAAAGTAAACAATTAAGATAATAAGTACCTGCAGATAATAAAAGAATTGTCGAGCAACAATCAAATCTATTTGAGAAATGTGTCCAAGCGATACGTCTTTCATGTTCAATATAATAACTATTCCGGGTACAGTTCCCTCTTCGTACTGCCACAAGTCCACAATCATTGTGAAAGCTCTGAAATAATTTGAAATATAAGTAAATTTTCGAAACATATTTACCAGTGTTTGGGGGCCTGTTATGAGTTCGCATGTCTCAATACTACCTTCAAGCTAATTCTCGTCACTTAGTTACGTTGTTATCAGATTTAAAGATAGGATAGCTCTTATATCCTTGGGCCCGCGGTCTGCCCCCAACATCCGCAGACCTTCAAGTCCCACATATTCTGAGCACCCCGTAGACAAGGACATCTCGTATGAGATTCGCCTGACTGCCCAAAAAAAAAGAGCATAGCCCAATTTATCTATATAATCGAAGCTCCCAGCTAGTGTCTCTTAAGGGGTGTCGACATTAATATTATTGTAGTCGATAGGGCGGTGGTAACCACTGTAGGTCCAGACAAGATATGACAAGACTCGCTGTCTCAAACTAGGTGGCGATATTCACTTGAAAACGTCTATAAGCTCCGTGATCACTAAAAGTCAGAGAAGCCGTAAGCGTATCAAAAAAACGAAAAAAAAAACGATCAATTTACTGTATCTCTTACTTACCATTTACCGTTTTAAAATCTAATGCGTTATCATGATCATCGTAAACAGTCCATACTCTTACATTGCTAGACATAAACTTTTCTTAATACGCGCCGAAGATTCGAAAATCGGGCTCGTTTTATGCGCAATAGAGCTAAATCATCAGCCATTGTATTATTGGTCACAGTATTATTGGAAGTAGGATAAAATTTGAAATGCAGATCAAAAGAACAAAGTAAATGTCGTCACAGAATTAATAATTTTAAATCTAAATACGTACCTAACCGCATCCTGATAGACAAATTTATTAGGGTCCGAATCCAAGATCTGGCAGTATATCGGTCGATATCCTTTCTTAGTCGAGGTGCTTAGTGGGGTCACTAACCTATAAAGAAGATTATAGCAATAATGTGATCTTTTCTAAAACTACAACATCTAAAACTACATACCATGTGTCCAAGGCTTTTTCAATACATTCGTTTACTTCTCTGTTTTGATAAAACGAGAACAATGTTCTGACTGTAAAATTGAGGTCAATCAAGTGCTTTGTTCGCTCAGTGTCATATTCGCAGCAGTGAAATGCGAGTATTATATCAAGATCTTAAAGAAACGATATCGTTATATTAGTTTTATGAAATCGTTGCCACGATGACTTACGTAATATTTCTATAGTTTATATCAAAATCTAGTTATTCTAAAAATGAGACAATATTACTCCACTGATGTAAATACACCAATGTATTACTCTCTAAACATTCGAATAACAAAAATGAATAGTTCACGTAAATTGAAAGATATTGAAAAACTAAAACTCTTTACTTAAGTTAAAGTAAACACTTCTTTGAAACTCATAAAGAGAGACGTAGAGATTAAATTTCATATAAAACAAAATAAAATCTGTTTATTTACCAGTTATAAACTCAGCTGGAAGATGCGGCTGCTTCCGAATCCATTCACGTAAATTCTCGACCATTTCTTGTCTTATGTTCACATGTTTCTTATATTCATATTGAACTGAGATCGCTTCGATTGCCATATTACACTTTCTTAAAACAATACAGTATTTAATATGATTCAAGTAATTCACCGCTCAAAATCGAACGTGGCAAGGCAGTGTTGTTTGTTTGTCTGGGTCGCAATTGCAAATGGTCGAATGTGAATTGGGATCGCATCTGTGTATTGAATATTAAGTCGTTGAACTGTATTATGTCTCCAATTGAAAACGAATCAAGGTCAATAATATTTAGTTATTACACGACATAGTAGATCTGTACATTAACAATTTATTTTCGTAACAAACCGAAATTAATCAAAATTAATAAAGATTCGCTGATATTAAACTATATAATTCTTTTATTTCTAAATTCTATATTCAGGATGTAAGCTTCTAGGAATAAGGGAATAGCTTTTTTCATTTTCATAAATCGTATTTTTATCATCATCGAAAGCCGCCGAGATCAGGGCCCGTTTGATGGTAAGTACTTATCACTCATTACGCTCATTGACATCAGTAATGCTATGAATAAAACTATAACTTAAACAAGGGCGGACCCAGCTTTGGCGCAAGGAGGGGGTCACATAGTCAAATTTAGATGCGTTCGTTCCCAAACGTTTGCCATTATACAAAGTAATTATATTATATTAAATTAATTAAATATTAAAGGTATGTAGTTACATAAAATCTGTATGGTGACAAAATATATAAATAAAATCATTATATTCAATTAGTGGTCCACCCAAGTCCTAGACCCAGCTCAGGGGGTGGTCATGACCCTCATGACCCTCCCCCTGGATCCGCCATTGAACTTAAATGCTAGTAATTAATATGATGCAAGCGAAGTTAACTCGTGAACATTTCCTAAAAAGTTTGTAGTTGTGCAAGCTGTACTTGCACGTTCTATTTATATATTTTACGCAACCACGTCCTAATCCGGGGTTCGTATATTATATCGTTGGTCTAAATCCTCGGACTTGCAAGTTTGATTGGACTCCCCTTGGCTCAGAAATAGTGGACATCTCGTAAATGTTTATGGCCAGCTTAAAGCTGTCTGCATTAAACAAACATGCTACTAAAAATTTCATTTTAGATCTACATGTCCAAGGAAAATTGTGTAGAAAATTATCAAACAAATACGTCATTATTATTTTTATGCACATTCCCGATGTACATACAAAAAACAATAACACGGGAGTCGCGAACTTTTTTTTATTCCCAATCTTTTTAAATAAACCGATTAATTAATTGTCTTTGACGAACATTAATTGATCATTACTTGATCGAAATTTGACCACAGCTGTAAGTTTGTTTCACAAAATAGAATTTAAAAAATCGAATTATATTATAGTTATTTTTAACGTTACATGGAGGTTACGACTCTCGTGGAACATGTCTGATAGTATAACGAGATTGACATATGTGACGCAGAATACAATACAATAAGTATACGTCTTGCTATTTTAAGAGATTTATTTCGAGCTCCAGTTAGTATTGTATTTTTTTTATGAACTGTTTCCTCTCGCTTGTCCTTGCTTCATTCTCTTTAATCACGAAAGTCGTGACATGAGTAGTTACGAATGTAAAAAGTAATCATAAATAAGTTCATTGTAAACGTCCTAAAATAGCAGTTTTGTTCCAATATGAACAAATATCAACTGTTTATATATACATTCGGCTATATACTATTTATATCTTGAATTTCATCACGTTAAATTGAATAATTTCTCTTCCCATACATATATATAGTCTTTTAAACCACCACTCAGGTCAAGGTAATGCTATATTGAGATTTACATTATGCAGATTTAAAAAAAATTATTGTAATATTGTTTTAGTATCAATAACAAAATATGGATGGAATATGATGGATAAAATATGGATTTATAAAAATTTACGTGATTAAAAAACACTACAAGAATACAATTAATACAATACAATGAAAGAATATAAGTACTGTAATAAATGTAATTTAAAATATATTATAATTTATAATACTTTAAAATATCTACTACTCGTAAATTGGGTTTATTTAAAGCTATGAATAGTTTTAAACAGTCATGTTAATCAAATTGTTTCATGGTAATAAAATTAAATATTTATTGAAACCGATATCAATTATATAAATGAACGCGATTTTCATGCGTAAATAAATCAGTTTTCAAGCTAAATCCATGATACTTAGTACGTACGTAATGATACGTAGATATATAATCGCATTTAGGTATTTCAGTAATAATTTCGCTCAGACGAGCGAAATAGAGAAGATTTTATATGTTGGTACCTAAATAAAATTAGATAAGATCGTCTATTCTACATTGGTCAAGTTTATACGAATGTTTATGCATGATATGTTATGTTCTTGAGTAAAGTGTACTCTATCTACTAATACTATACTTAGTCTGGCCCTAAATACTGTTACAAAGGAAAACAAAAAAAATCTATGGCAAATAACATTTATTACTTTTACAGTGTGTTAGTTTAATACATAAATATAAAACAATTTAAAGTATAAAAAGCTTATTCGAAGTGGTCTCCATTGGCTGCAATACAGTCCTTTAAACGTTGAGGCCAGTTATCAATAGAAGCACGCACTCTCCATGGGAAAAATTTTCACTGCCAATCGTACGGATTGTTTTAGGGACTCCAAATTATCATGGCGTTTAGAGCAAGCCGTACTCTCTAAAACTGACCATAAATCATAATCCAGCGGATTAAGATCGGGACTAGACGACGGCCAGTCTTCAGCTCTGATGAAGTCCGAAACGTTCGTTTCCAACCAAGACTGCGTAGACCGAGCTTTATGACCTGGCGCCTACCTACCCGTGCGGACTCACAAGAGGTCCTACCACCAGTAANATGTTCCATGGGGAGTGCTCTGAGGAATTGTTCGAGATGATACCGGCATCTCGTTTTTACCATCGCACCGCCCGCCACCGGAGTAGAGTTCATCCATACTACCTGGAGCCACTGCGGTCATCCACAGTGCGTTTCCAGAGGTCTTTTTTGCCACGTACCATCCGGCTATGGAATGAGCTCCCCTCCACGGTGTTTCCCGAGCGCTATGACATGTCCTTCTTCAAACGAGGCTTGTGGAGAGTATTAAGCGGTAGGCAGCGGCTTGGCTCTGCCCCTGGCATTGCTGAAGTCCATGGGCGACGGTAACCACTCACCATCAGGTGGGCCGTATGCTCGTCTGCCTACAAGGGCAATAAAAAAAATAAAAAATAAAAAAATAAAAATTATATGAAGCCATGACTGCTTCGCAGCAGAACCACCGATTCCTACCGGAGGTGGTAGTGCTTACCCATTCGGATTTAGAATACGCCCTAACAAACGTACATACCTAAATATTTAAATTAACTCTGTTGAAATATACGAAATATGTGAAATACACAAGAAAAGCTTATATATACAAAGAATATCTATACTAATATATAAATCTACAGTGGTTTTTACGGATGTTATAAAACTACTGAACCATGCATCCGATTGACTTGAAACTTGGTATCCATGTAGAAAATACATGTACTTAATGGATAGGCTAATATTTATATGAGTGTTGGACTCCCTAAACCAGTTGCGGGGGTGTTAATTATGAGAATCTTTATGGGGGTGAGAAATATTAATGTTAATTTTAAATGCCCAGCGAAGCGGACGGGTACAGCTAGTCATAGCATATTATCAATATGCCAACGGAGACAAATGCGTATTTACACCCGCGTAAACCTTTCAAATAACCCGAGCAATAGGTATACATAGATTAATTGGTGGACTATAAGAAACATAATTTTGAGGCAGCCCAGTTTCCAGAACATCGGCGGTGTATGAACTCATTATGTACCCATGAGCAGCTCACAGTCGGGTGAGTGGGCCGCTCACGGTCCAACAGGCGCTTTCAAAGTAGGGCCGCTCCTACCCTGATATTCTCTACCTTGCCCTCGCAACTATTAGAAAACACATTGTTGAACGCCATTAAACGTATTATGAAGGCTTATTGAGCTCACATTCAGTTAATGGCATGTTTAAATAATAATGCATAGGAGTAAAAGCAGTATTAATGAAAGTAGTGTTTATTTTTTTTATGATTGAGGGATTACTGGTGGTCCGGAGGCCTTTTCAGTTTCACGAGGACAGGTTTTTTTTTATTGCTTAGGTGTGTGGACGAGTTCACAGCCCACCTGGTGTTAAGTGGTTACTGGAGCCCATAGACATCTACAACGTAAATGCGCCACCCACCTTGAGATATAAGTTTTGAGGTCTCAGTATTGTTACAACGGCTACCCCACCCTTCAAACAGAAACGCATTACTGCTTCGCGGCAGAAATAGGCGGGGTGATGGTACATAATATCCGTGCGGACTCACAAGAGGTGCTATCACCAGTAATGTTAGTGTTAGTGTTCATTTTTATAATATCTTCAAACATTATCTTGTATTTATAACAAAAATTTATTCTCGTTGGTCCGTTCGAATGTCTAGTTAACGCTACCAAATCTTTTTTGTTTAACATTTTATGTGATCAAAGCTTACGATAAAATTTTATTTGGAAAAAATTGTTTGAGATCAAGTCAGGAAGATCAGCTATTCTAATTTTTCAAAGACAAAACGAAGAATATTTCGGTGATTTCTTTTGACATTAATATGACGAATGTAGTCAGTGATTCATAGATAAGACATCCTCCTCCTCGCGTCGTTTTGATTCATTCGTCATCATTTCGTCATTACTCAGGGTCGTGACTCCCCCGCTGCATCAGTTTCGTCCGTACGATTTCCCTCCATCTGCTTCGATCCTTAGCTTCACAAAAGGCATTGTGGAAGTTGATGTTCAGAGAAGATCGTATTTGGTCCGACCATCTCGTGGAACTGCGTCCTCTGGGACGTTTGTCTCCACCTTACTTGTCACCATCAGCTGTTCAAAATTGTGACACTCTTTACGAGCAATATGTCCGAAGAATTCCTTATCTCTTTTCCGCATAAGATAAGACATATACAGTGATTTATTAATATCAGAACATTTTCAAGCAACCCTTTCTAATTTTTAACCATACATAACAGACTTCGATTCGAAATTCACAATCACTCATAGTGTTTTTGATTTAAAATTGAATGTCGCTTAAACCAATGATCCATATAGTGGAATAATAAAAACATAGATAATTACAAAAAGAGTTTCACTACTTGATTTTCATAGCTTATTTGCATTTTCTTATTATTCATCAGTTGAAAACAATGACGTTTTGAACTAATTGTAATGTTTTGATACAGTTTATTTAAATGTTTTTTTTATTTATATTTCCTTATTTCAACCACGTTTTATATACAAAATGATTGGAGCGTATTCTTCAAATTACGACAACGATGAGAACTTTGAAAGTTTATTCGAAGATGGGCATTGGGAATGGGATGAAAATGTTATGCAGCTCGTGTTCACAAGGTAAACAAGCGTATGTACATGTGTCGTTGGTACGTAACCTCGAATGTCCACAACTTAAATTGATTACAAAAGTTTGGAATGTACGACCGAATTACATATCGCCGAAATAAAAATCACGTAATTCGAACTGCGTTTGGATAACGATCATTTTTCGGATATAATACCTGAAAAATTAAACACATTACTCAGCCCAGAAGTTAACAAATTTGGAGTCCGTAATATTATTATTATTCTTGACTGTTTTACAGCCATTTCGGTGTCAGTGTGTATTGTGAGTAAAAGAATTTCTGTTCAACAGCGATCGCCCGCGGCGCGAATCCTCTTATGAATCAACTTTGCAGACTACTTTTGGTCCGGTAGAATTTAAAGATAATTTAGATCTTCTAGACGAGGTACCTACAGCTTCATTTGGTTCGCTTGTGTTTTTTATTGTATTCATTAAAATTATATTTGAAAATTTTAGCTAAGATTTCGTAAATTATTTCAAAGGAAAACCGTTGAGACAGACGTGGTCACTGTGCAGGTAATAGTTTAAATATGTTTAATACATAAGATATATTAATAAAACTCAAAAGTAAATTTGAATATTTTTTTATGCAGGATATTAAAGATTTAGTGCTTTACACAGCACCTTTAAAGATGCTAATATCAGCTCCAGCAACAATCAACGTTCTTCATCTACGAGCAACACACCGATTCCTACGTGCTTTAATATTCTATTGTCAATATTATCTACAGGTAACTCAAATCTAAACAAATGTATACATCACAATCCGCACTTTGAATCGGTAGAGGTATATAACGTAAGGCGTAACTTAACATAAGGAGGTATATAAGGCGAGATATATAACCATGCTATATATTTCGGATATTCGTGTGGACACGTGGTCAATACATAACTACTTTAAAAAAATATAGCTACCGTAATATTTGAGCCCATAAGTGTAATCGCATTAGTAGTTTAGGGAAGTTCAATCTATTACAAAACCGGATGGTTCGTTACAAAAATGATATCTGGAACTCTTCGCTGCTTATGAACGAAGCGATCCAGGTGGCCAAGATGAATTCTGCTCCGGTAAAAGAAAAAATATAAAGGAATCATCTTGTATAAATCATCAGAGCACTAGCGTTTCATAATAGACATAGAAACGCAATATTTTGTACAATGACGTCTACGTTTAAAAACGCTATACGAACTCTAGCAGTATTTTAGCGGTAGGCAGCGGCTTGGCTCTGCCCCTAGCATTACTGAAGTCCATGGGCGACGGTAACCACTTACCATCAGGTGAGCCGTATGCTCGTCTGCCTACAAGTGCAGTAAAAATAAAAATAAAAAAAAATATGTCACAAGAAAGTAACTAAGCATTTCCTCTCAATTTCCACAGATTATTTTATTAGTTTATATCTTAAAACACTATAGATAAAAGTATAAAAGTAGTGGTTTTATAAACAAACTAGTGTATTAAGTGTTATAGTAACGTGGTATTATTAAATTTACTATAATATTATTATCTTATGGTGTTTTAAATATTTTCTAGACTTCTGACGAAATGAGCAAACGTTCGTTAGAATTGGAAGCGAAAATTCGTACACATAGAAGCGATGAAATTGAGAGAATTTTTCAAATGAATTTAGAAGACCTACGTTTACTTGTTGCTAAAGAATACTGTAATCTAATTATGGGTACAATCGCCTTTTTNAAATTTACTATAATATTATTATCTTATGGTGTTTTAAATATTTTCTAGACTTCTGACGAAATGAGCAAACGTTCGTTAGAATTGGAAGCGAAAATTCGTACACATAGAAGCGATGAAATTGAGAGAATTTTTCAAATGAATTTAGAAGACCTACGTTTACTTGTTGCTAAAGAATACTGTAATCTAATTATGGGTACAATCGCCTTTTTCATGCACGATTACAGTAGTTTACTTAAAAATGAATTAATATTATGTATTGAATTAATAATCGCAGGAGATGATGAGTTTAAAAAGTATCATCACATGGGCTTGTCAAAGAAAACGCGCTCACTAACCAAAAAAGAAGCACACCTATTCGAAAACGTTCTACGTATAGCCATACAAATAACGTGGATAGCCCTCGGACGCAAAGCGTTTAACCAAATAGGTAAAACTCGCTTCATGTTATTCTTTAAATTGTTAGCACAAAATATAATGTAACTGGCTGTTTGCATTTAGAGAAGGAAGTGCACAGAATTTTCAAGACCCCGATTTTTAACTTCGCTGACCATAGATTAAATTCAATGAATACTGAAAAACTGAGTAATGAAGAACAAAAGATATTACTAGGACATTGCGTGCATTATGGCAAGAAAATTAAAACTCAATCGCCTTTAGCGAACGAAGCCTTTTGTAGTAGACACATCGACTTCAGAATGTTCGGTCTCGGTATTATCAAATATAATGGGTAAAGATTATTCTATTATTATTTTTATTGTAATAATTTACACAAGCCATAATATCTTATGATACGAAAAATATACCCAAACGATTAATAATGGTAGACATAGATATTTTTTTAAGATAACCCAATAAATGATCCAACTACGCAATTCTGTTTATTACAATGTTTCAGTTTGCCAAGTCGCTTACGTTATTTCGAACAAATGTTAATAGCACCTGAAATACTTTTGAGCAAGTTCGAAATAAGCCTCGGTATCGTTGGTCTGCCGCGATCAAACTTTGACACAATGCTCCGGGAAATCAAAGTCCCGCTATCCGGAGCGAGCACTTCATCGAGTAGAGTTCGACAATCTGTGGGGAGGTATTTTCGTTCAACATACAATTCCACAAATCGATCAATAAAAGTTAAGAACATTACAAATAAGTGTCGTTCGATTTAGTATTAATTATGTGCACAAGAACACAGCGTAACACGCTTGGATTAAATTTATTTGATGAAATTATTTACCATATTTATTGTATTTATAAAGTCTGCAATCTCTAATTTAAATTAATGTAGAAAAAACAAACCAACAAACGACGTTATTTAAATTACCTTGTTCTTTGTAAATTTGTTGTTACGCGCTAGGGTTCGGGATAAATAAAAAGTTCCACCAAAGTACAAATGGACACTGTATTAGTAATAAAAGAGTGTATTAGTAGTAAAATTCTCAATTCGCTTCTTCCGCTTCGCTTCAGGTGATCCGTTCGCTGTTTCGCTTCGAGTAGTTCGGATTACTATCCGACTGCGTGCCATCTCTGCAACGCTTTTGTTGTCGATACGACATCCCTAGCATTATCGAGAATATTCCACAAAAGTCGAGTATTGTGTTTCCGCTATCTAACAATAGATGGCGTTGTACTTCTCGAGCGTTCTAGATGCTACTAGATCCTTCGATATTTTGCGATAGATGGCGTTACTCTTACCGGTATAACATTATTATTAGGTTGACATCATCAAGAATGTCCAGATCGAGTGCGGGAGGAAAACAGAAGAGTACTACGAGCGCAACTATGCAGCCGTTGTATAAAGACATTGTGATTCCCGAACCGAGTAATACGTAAGTGAAATCTACTGTCCGTTTTCATTACAATGTGAGACATGCCTCATTACTCAAAGCTTAAATCAAAGCACGATTCACAATAATAAACAATTTAACCAATTGAGCTGCAGTCGTACCCTTAATGCATCGTTCGAGTGTTTCAAACTCAGGGACCTACTTTCAGATGTCATTTCCTTCATCGTAAATACATCAACTAATATTGTGAAAGTAACATTATCTTTTTTGTCATTTTAAAGCTATGAACAAAACAATGATAAAAGTTGACGTGGCTATTTTCCGCTCCGCATCAAATGTTTTCAAATCGTAACTAAAATATTTTACGACGAATGTTTTTTTTAATGCTACCGAGTCTGGTAAGCCCACACGTCACTAGTCGTAACGGAAACCCATAGACTCAGAATACAGAAAAAACCATAGACAACGCAACTTGACCGAAGTCTCGATTGTGTTGTATGTCCCGTTTAGACGTTCCTCCACGCAGTTCTACTTTTGCAGGCCTTTCAGATCGCAATATCGCTCCTTACGTCGGTAGACAATCAGTAACGTGTTGCCCTTGCTAAAAAAAAAACACATCCTGTAGTAATTAGATTTGGATTAAAGTTCGACGACATTACGTAGAGCACTCTTTAAAATCACGATATGAATTAATGGGAAAATTTATTATCTAACATTAAGATCCTACTTTTAGAGAGAGATGATGACAATGCGATCATAGTAGCTCGGGTACCCGTATCATGCACCCGTATCATGACAGATCATTTATAATGTAAGACTATCTTAACATACCAAGTTTTATTGTTTTAATACATTTTTAGAGACAGTTCCGCGGAATTTTCTTGCGAAACTTTACCAACGGCCCCCTGTGATCAAGATCAACAAAACAAATGGTTGCGATGGATAAAGTTACACACGAATCGGAAAAATAAACATAAAAAGCACTGAGGTTTTTTTTAGCTCAAATATAATCTGAATCTCAATCGCTTTTATGATATTTTATTTACGAAATTCATTGTATTAATCGATCTTCAAACTAAGTTAATCTTAGCAATCCATATCCATTAAAAACGGTACCGGCTTTTTCTGTAAGTTTACTCAATAATAATCTCATAGACAGCACGATAAAAATATCGGTACCCTGACCCAGGTCGAAATCTCGATATAAAACACTGAAATACCCTTCAAACCGTAATTTCTTACTGCTTCGTGGAAGAAATTAGCAGGATGGTAACATCTGACAGTGTGGGCTTCCAATACGCCCTACCACCGTCCAGTCTTTCGACAAACGCAGTCCAAATGACCAGCAAAGCACCTTAGAATATAACTCTAACCTCCCTACTAATTCCTGTTTTGATTTACCAATACTTAATCTACCTTTTCCAAGGACGGTGAATCTCAGGTACATTGGATAGTCCTAAAACAAAGGCTAAATTATATTTGTATAAATTGTAATGGGAACAAAACATAATCGACATAAGTGTCGTCTACTTCACATAATTTTATTATTAGGTACCATAATTTTAAGTCGTACTTATATTTCATCGTCCTTTGACTTGGAACTACAACAGGACCGCTTTTCGTGTCACAATTATCGTGTCAAAGGTTTCGAAATTATTTATAGTTGACTAGCTCCAGCAATATGCCATCATTTTCTTCAATAATATTATTTTCTTAAAGGTTAACTCGTTCAATTAAAACAGACGTCTTACATGTCAGAAAACTATCAAGCACTTATTATACTATGTATTATTGATTAAAGTAAGAAAACGTATTAAAGTAATATTTATTCAAATACATATTAAATACAAAATAAAAATAGTAACAAAAAATGTAAAGTTAATTGTAATCAACAAAACCTTTAGGACCATAACGATACGGTGATGGTCCAACAAAATACCTACACATAAAAATACACATTTTAAAGTATTACGTGTTCATTATTTAATTACAATCTATCGGTGTTCGATTCGATATGTACAGACAGAGAACGCTTCAGATATTTAAGGCAGATTTTAACAAACTTATATCTAGCGCAGATTCATCAGTTTACTAAGCCTATTTAGCCACCGCCGTCGCTGCACTTCGTTACATTGACGAATTTTCTCTGGCTCATCAGGAAACGACGGTGGAAAGCGTACACTGAAAGTTTTATACACACCTATAATTGGACCCATTTATGCAAACAAGAACCAACCCACAGCAGGCTAGTTTCGAGAAAACGAGACTTTTGTAAACAGAGTGTGCAAAATGCATAGATATTATAATAATGAATGAATACTTTTTAAACCTGTTTGGGATACTGTAGCCTATCTAGGAATATCTGATTTATATAGTTTATGTAGTCACTGTATAAAGTAAATCTTTAAAAACACGGTTGGTTCTTTTTTGCAAAAACACATTTTGTTGCTTAGTTCCTTCTTGCAAAATGGACCTAAGATTGCATCTGTGTACTCAACTCAATTTCACTCAAACTTTGGGTTGGTTCTTGTTTGCATAAATGGGTCCAATTAACCAGGCAAAGACAAAACAGTGAAGTATTCAGTCACTATTTCTTTCAGATTGTCAACAAATATCTTTTTAATCTGTAACTATTGTAGAATTTAGTGTTACCGATTTTGAATGTTTTTTTTTAAATATCGCTAGCTGATCAAAATATATTGTTTCAGTTCCTATTACGGTCGAAATTCGATCGTTGGGCGAACACTAGTAGTATTCATTATATTATGTACTTTCGGCTACAAAAAGCTACTCTAGTAGGTGGCAATAAGGACCAGCGTACCATGCGTGTCTCTAATATCAAGATACTTCTTGTATACGAGAGACGTTTTTATGTGTACTAGTTAGGAGACGACTGTACGTGTTGTACTTAAAAAAATACAAAAGAAAACTTACTCCTTGGATTCCTTTCGTGGTAGTGTTATGTCAGGATATAATTTTTGGACGACATGTGAGCTTTTTCTCATAGACGCTGCACTTTTAGAGCTGCGGTTGCTTGTCGAAGACCTAAATTTGATGACAAGCAACTCAAAATCTTTTTTTATTTTTTTTTTATTGCTTAGGTGGATGGACTGGCTCACAGCCCACCTGATGTTAAGTGGTTACTGGAGCCCATAGACATCTACAACGTAAATGCGCCACCCACCTCAAATTGTTTTGGACCAGAAATTTTCCGATCATGATTTGACGGTGCTACTAAAAAGCCTCCGAATCATAATTCTTGGTTGTTACAAATAAATTTGAATGTCTTCGTTACTCCATTAAACAATTGAGAAAATGAATCTATTTATAGAAAACGCATACGAGATAATAATAACATGAATACCAACATCACACTGAGATCATGAATAGCAACATCTTAAACACAGATATTGATTCCAATCGGAAATGGAATCAGGGCGGAACAGTCAGTAGTCATAGTCACTAACCACTACATCAACGATATTAATATTCGTTTAATATTCTTTTTACGAACATTGAAGCTTTAGATTTTCCTTCCGTAGCAGTCGGTAGGGGTCTAAGCATCGTGTCGAAAGCAGAACGTGGCAAACCAATAATACCGAGAACTATACCGGATTCAGTAAAATTCTCCTCAGGACCGGCTATTGTCAAAAGTAAATATTGCAAACGAGAAGTTAGGCTGAAAAACAAATGTAATATTTTTTTTTATTTTTTAATGCTATAAATCATATGTGCAGACAAATTTACAGGTCGTCTGGTGTTTTGCCGATATCGGATCTTAGACATCATACGTCATAGACACTACCATCTTATGGACACTTAGGTACAACTTAAACACTGTCACATTTCCAAGAGCAATTAGCGTTAAACTATAAGCTTTATCAAACGATACGAGTCATACCTCGTGCCAATCCCACTTTATGGAACAACAGTTTAGAACAACAAAATTTATCGGTTGTCACATGCTTCTTCGTAAAAATCTATATATATAAAAATGAATTGCTGTTCGTTAGTCTCGCTAAAACTCGAGAACGGCTGGACCGATTTGGCAAATTTTGGTCTTGAATTATTTATGGGAGTCCAGAGAAGGTTTAAAAGGTAAACAAATATGAAAATGCTTAGATATAAATAATAATAACAATTTTGTTTTTTCTTTGATGTGTCCCCCGACGGACGGATACCTTTTGTTTGTTTTAAGTTTATTTTATACAAAAGTTTTGTTCTTTTTTTTATCGATTGAGGCACTACGAAGTCTGCCGGGTCAGCTAGTAACTTATAAAATTGGCCAATCAGATGATTACTAACTGAGGGCATTTAATGACTCCAAGACCCATAACACGATAATCGACATCTCTAGAACAAAACACTTCGTTGGTCAATGGCGATTTTGTGTTCAACTTTTTATCGTAACGAATGCAGTTTCCAAATAAAACTGAACGCTCTTCCTTTGTCATTTTACCGACATAGCCGGTTTTCAGAGTGTGCTCAACTGTATTGAATATATCAGATTTGAAGACTCGATTCACTTCCAATTCTATAAACAAAATACACAGCAAGTGAGCTTATTTTTTTCTTATTTGAAAATTTTAAATTCATTGATAAATGTTTAATTATTACTCATTGTAATACCTTCTTCGTCGTACTGATTCATAAACCTAACACGTGTTCATGAATCTTTTTGTGCAGAAAAGTCAGTACCTGATTACAGAATTTCAACCCCGGTATAGTAGCCATCATGGTCTAAAAAAGACGCTCTCGGTTTGCTGGTACCGAGCGATATATACCGGGACTTTACTGGTATTAAATCCAGCAGATAGATATCAACTTTTATTAGGAAATGCGAACTTAATGTGATCATAAATAAAATCCACGTTTAACTAATAATAACCAAAAAGTAATAGAAATCAACATTTCTAAACTTACGTAATTACTTTAAAGACTATACGTATTGTGGGCGTATACGCCCATTGTGAGCCCGTCCGAAATTCGATCTTGAAACTCGAGATCGAAGTCTCATTTCTATTGTATAGCGGCTGCTACATCCTTCAAATTGGAACGTGTGATTCTTTGCAGAAGACCTAGGAGAGCGGTTCGGCGGTACCTACCCGTGCAAGCTTGCCATGCGTCTCACCACCAGTAAAAATTGGCGATATTCACTCTATAAGCTGGTAATCACTTAACAAGAATTAGGCCGGGACATAGTTAACGTAACCATACAAAATATGTATATAATGTAAAATACGAATATCAAAATACCAATCTGATTAAAGGATTTCCTTCCCAAAGCCAACCAAACAACTTGGACGCACATTCGCAACAGTGTTTCGAATAAACGAGCGTCTTTATCTGATAGTGATCGACGTTTTTTCTGTGGGCCCATGTGATGGAACTTTCTAGTCTCACCTCCGCCTAAAGATAATTTGAATTTTATGTATTTAATAAAAATAACGAATGGTTATATGTGGATATAAAAATACAACTACGTGCATTATGTGTTCATAATTCCTTAATCATCAACCAGTGAAGCGGTAAAATTGCTTTATAGTACTAATATACGTCATCATGTATTTTGATTACATGCTCATTTAGGTTCTAATGTAGTAGGTACTAATTACCTATTAATATTGTGCAATATTCTTTGGCGACTAACAATCGCAGATCGGCTAAGTTATCGCGGTATTCGTTTTCGATTATCTCACAATCCGGCGTTCGAACTTTTGCTTCCAATTCTATTATACGATTTGCCATTTCATCTGCAATCTTAATTATAACCAATACAAACACATAAAACTAAAATATTGTACTTTTATACAAGGTATTAATTTATAAAACTATATAAAAGAATACGCCGAATGATATAAAAACTATGAATAGTTAAAAAGCGGTATTTTCATGAGCGAAGGTAAACCTTTCCTATCAGGTAGGACATACTAGAGATATACATGTGTATATATATATTGACAACAAAAGCGTGATAAACATTTTATTTTTATGTGAAAATAAATAATTACCTGTAAATAGTACTGGCAACATAGAATCAGTGCTCTCAAAAACCTTTCTGTCGTGGGAAGATGAAGCATATTAATCAATACTGGACTTAATATACCGACAGGTGCAGTAAATATTGCAATATCCTTTACATCCTATAACATCAACTTTATAATTACATAATTTGTTAATAATTAGTGATTACAGTTAGATGAAAGTGTCACCTGGAGAGTTATAACGTCTGCCTGACCAGATTGCAACTTCCTTTGGTAACGCCTGCGAAACCGTATCTAGTAAATAAACGTTTTTATTTATTTAATTGCAAATTTATAAAGTTTACATGTCCTATTTGAATATCGTGATCCACTCTCGGTACTTTTATGCTCCCATAGTACTGATCCCCCTTCAATCAACGTACGACCTAGCCCATAAACACAACCCAACCAGTTTCTCAAAGGATTCTCAGTGGATCGCGATTACGATTTCAAATAGCCTCTTAAGTTACCAAGGATCAGGTAGCGAAAAAAAAATGTTTACATCATCTGTTTGTTTCAACATAAACAGTGTTTTTGCCACTGAGTTTAAAAATCCGACAGCCTATTGTAACTATTCGTTGAAAATACTCGCGCACCACCCATTATAGATCGACAATACTCGGTCAGAATTCTTTTCCTAATTGGAAAAATCAACCAAGTACACAGTTTCATATAAATTGAATATACACCACCCGGTCACATAAAACACGAACGCACGGACTAACTATAATTTCAAAATATTTTGGACATTATATTTTAGAAAATCAGCACCTGTTCAATTAAATCTACGTCATCTCGAAACTCTATGGCTCCAGTGGGCGCTTTTGTTGATATCTGAATAGTTTCCACTGGTTGTGGAGGTAAATCGCTGAAATCCAAAATAATCTAATAATAGCTTTGCTGAAACGTTTACAACAATAATTAATTTATATTAAGAGTAAGTATCGAAAGTTTTCTTAGTAGGTACTTAGTAACAATCAAGTATTGAAGACGATTCGAACACCCGAGATTTAGAATATCCCCCCTATTAATATTTTGTTATCACCCACCCCCCCCCCCATAATTATCCCATTAAATAAATTAATAATTATTTTAGTACCTTATAAAATGTAAGGTATTTGTATTTTCATTCCATTCCCAATGGCCGTCTTCATACAAACCTCCAAAAACACCCTCTTCATCATCAGCCATCGCAGTATTTCAAAAAAATATATTTAACACTCCCTACAATGATGGTAACTAACAGAATATCATTTTTACATAAATCTTTGACAAATCAACAACTTCAAAGACTTTAATTTTATGATCAAAAAGGTTGTTATTTGATTTGATTTCAATTTTGCTTTGTTAATATTATAATTAAGTAGTTCAATGGAAGTTGACGACCTTTCTGATTTTATCTGTCAAAAAATGTTAATATGACTAACATAGTTTTTTTTAAATGAGGTTTTAATAAAGAGTTATGAAATATGAAAGTCTTTTAAGTACTCCCTACTCTTTAGATTCGGAAACACCCAATATAAATTGACTGCCTAACATCTCGATTACGAAACATAATCATTGTGTTGAATAATATACGCGTACTATATAAAGAATAAAATCTACTACACAACTAGGTGCCATCATAAAATTCTAGTGCAGTTCCATTACTTGCCGTATAATTCTGCTATAAATAATTTAAGTTTCATTCATGATTATAAGTCACGGACAGCTATAACTTGCAAATTGAAATTTCCATCGAACATGTTTGTAAGTTTGTCGAAATTTACGACGTCACCAGTGAGTTTTCTCTCGCCGCCACTGAATACAAAGTTATGTTAATGTTGCTAGTGCACCGAGCTTGGAACTGCAGCTATCTTTATATATAAGTGCACCAAGATTTAATAATTTCCACGTTTCATTCACCTATACCTATGTATATTTTATTATTATTATAGCCTTTATTCAGACAGTATTTCATTTACACATATCTTAAATTTCTTTTGGTTAACACTTTTTATATACTTCATATATTAAAGTCTTAACACTATTTAACATCGATAACCCCGTCTGTATGTCATTTATTGACAAAGGCCTCCTCCAACCTTTTCCATTCCTCTCTGTCTTTGGCAGTTCTTGTTCATAAACCTCCTGCTACCGCTTTAATATCATCCACCCATCTTCTAGATGGTCTACCTCTTTTCCTCTTCATATGACTTGTGAACCAATTCATTATTGATTTTGACTATTTATTTATCTTTACCTCTAACTATATGACCTGACCATCTCCACTTTGTGGAGACCTATGTATATACCCAAGTAAACTACTTGTTTAATTTGTTTAACAAGGTAAGCTCGATACGGAAATGGGTAAAATAGGTTATCGAAAGATTGTCGTCTTTTCTATATTCGATCAATATGTTATATCAAGTACCCTAAATGTACCCTTATGTTCCCTAAAATTGTTTTCATCCTGTTCCGAATAAACACGTATATTGGGAGAAGTGTGTCAGGTGTATTAATTCATTGAATTCGTCATCACAGACGATCGCGCTTATGAAGCTGCGACGCACAACTTTGATCGTGTGCGCTCTGCCATGTGATCAAATGAGCTTGGCGCGCTATGGGGATAACGCTGGACTTGTTTATAGAGTACCTGCCACTGAACTTAAGATCTCATCTACTCAGTGATTCACTGGTTCCCAAAAGATATAAACTAGAGCGGTTCATGTGAAGGACTAATTAATATTAGGCACTCGTTAAGCATGAAAGGTAGCAAGCATTTAGAGATGTTCCACGCATAACAAAATGAGTTAGAATAACAGATGATAAGATTTTTTTTAAATATGATAATTTTACTTCTGTAAATAAGCAATATTTTTTCTGTTACTAAGTAAGATGACGGCAAGATTTATTCACGGTATATATACATATAATTACGGTAGGCATCGGCTTGACTGTGCTAACGTCTGAGAAACGGTAACCCATTAAATGGGCCACATGTTCGCCTGCAGATAGTGGCAGTGTAGAGCAATATTGTAGTGATTAAAAAATTATTAATTTTAATTAAAAATTTTAATTAATAATTAAAATTATTTTTATTTACAGAATTTTATTTATTAAAAACGTTATTTTAAATTGTTTTTCCGTGAACTCGTTTAGTCTAGCTTAACAGAAAATATAAATCATCACAAGAGTGAAAGGACAGAAACTCTAGAATTCTGGTCAATATAAAAATTGTCTCTACATTATGTATACTTAGTCTGGCCATAAATACTGTTACAATGAAAAATAAACAAAATATTACATTTGAATTTAGAATTTGTCATTTTTATATGAATGCTCATTGAGTTTTCTCATTTTGGCGCCAATACATTGTACAATATTTTGCGATATTAAAATGAAGTGGGGTGATAAAGAGAACCGAAGGTATGGAGCCAAATGCAATTTTTAAAACTCTCCATACGCTTGATATTAGTAAAATATTTGTGTACCGGGCTATTAATAGGTGCAATAAGACCTCCTCTGTTTGTGACAGAAAAAGATCTAGCCGTCCACGTAGTTTTCGTACGAAAAAGGTGGTCAAAGCAGTAAGGGAAAGAATTCGAAGAAATCCAGTCCGAAAGCAAAAGATTTTATCTCGGGAGATGAAGATAGCACCTAGAACCATGTCGCGTATTTTAAAAGATGACTTAGGACTTGCAGCATATAAGAGACGTACTGGTCATTTCTTAACTGATAATTTAAAAAAGAATAGGGTGGTACAATCGAAACAACTACTGAAGCGGTACGCAAAGGGAGGTCATAGAAAAATTTTGTTTACGGATGAGAAATTTTTTACAATTGAGCAACATTTTAACAAACAAAATGACCGTATTTATGCTCAAAGCTCTAAGTAAACTTCCCAATTAGTCGACCGAGTGCAACGTGGGCACTATCCGACTTCAGTGATGGTTTGGTGGGGTATTAGCTATGAAGGAGTGACTGAGCCATACTTTTGTGAAAAAGGTATCAAAACACAAGTGTATCAAGATACCATTCTTGAGAAGGTAGTGAAGCCCCTTAACAACACCATGTTCATTAATCAAGAATGGTCCTTCCAGCCAGACTCGGCGCCAGGTCATAAAGCTCGGTCTACGCAGTCTTGGTTGGAAACGAACGTTTCGGACTTCATCAGAGCTGACGACTGGCCGTCGTCTAGTCCCGATCTTAATCCGCTGTATTATTATTTATGGTCAGTTTTAAAGAGTACGGCTTGCTCTAAACGCCATGATAATTTGGAGTCCCTAAAACAATCCGTACGATTGACACTGAAAAATTTTCCCATGGAAAGAGTGCGTGCTTCTATTGATAACTGGCCTCAACGTTTAAAGGACTGTATTGCAGCCAATGGAGACCACTTCGAATAAGCTTTTTATACTTTAAATTGTTTTATATTTATGTATTAAACTAACACACTTTAAAAGTAATAAATGTTATTTGCAATAGAAATTTTATTTTTTCCTTTGTAACAGTATTTATGGCCAGACTAAGTAGTATTTCGGTGCTAATAACCTATAAATGAAGTTTAACAACCGTTAGTTGTCTCAACGAGCGGTTTCAATTACTAATAGTTTCTAAACGTCGTTTATTTAGATCAATTTAACTAGCACGCGCCAGCGAAACCTATGTAACGTCAGTATTATTAAAGTTATTCGCACCGACCAACTGCATCACGGGTTTGCGCCATTTTATAATTGCTTGTTGTTCAACTGAGTATAGATATATAATCTTTATTGCATGGACTATTGGACAGCCAGCTGGTGTTAAGTGGTCACCGGAGCACATAGACATCTATAATGTAAATGCCGCCACCTACCTTGAGATATAAATTCTAAAGTCTCAGTACACTTACAACGGCTGCCCCACAGTTCAAAACGAAACGCATTACTGCTTCACGGCAGAAATAGGCAGGGTGTTGGCCATGTGGACTCACAAATTATAATTTTGCGTGTTCGATTTTTATTACACGATGTTATTCCTTCGCGTACGTATTTCATTAGAAAAATTGATATCCGCCTGCAGGATTCGAACACAGACGCATCGCAAGATACGAATGAATGAATTTATGTTATGATCCGCGAGTGGACTAAGCTGTATCTTCTTAATAAAATGAGACTTAAAAACATGCTTAGGTACGTCCGTCATGTTTATGACTTAGGTATGTGTAGTATTCGCTTAAGTGTTTTATCACACACGCAGCCCGCACTAACATAACACTCCTTACAAACTTTATTCGTAGGATCGCCATCGATACACTGGGGTACGTGCGGAATGCAGATCTTGACAACGATCAGAATTTCGAACCCTTTTGTGAGTGAGTACATGAAAACAACGTCGGAATGCCTCTTCAGCAATGCAACACGACAGACCCCTTATTGTAGCCGCAACTGAGTACAAACCTGACTCAGATCTCGCTAGACCTCTCTCGGAGACGCTCGGACAGCAACAATTGTTAGCAATACCTCTATCCCAATATTTGAAGAACAAAAATTGAACGTTGCTGTGTGCCTTAATATGAATTCCAAAGCATTTTTTAAAATTAAACGCGTAGTTCTAAAATGTGTGTTTATGAGCCGCTTCTACAGCCAACAAAGTCGGAAACATTGTGTAATAAAATCGAAGTCTGCGTCTGTGTAGTATTTAGTGGTAGGGAATATTTTAAGCTAGCATTCACTTTTTTTATATTGCTTAGATGGGTAGATGAGCTCACAGCACACCTGGTCTTAAGTGGTTACTGGAGCCCATAGACATCTACAACGTAAATGCACCACTCACCTTGAGGTATAAGTTCTAAGGTCTCAGTATAGTTACAACGGCTGCTCCACCCTTCAAACCGAAAGGCATTACTGCTTCACGGCAGAAATAGGCGGGAACGCCTCACGGAGAAATAGGGATGGTGGTACCTACCCGTGCGGACTCACAAGAGGTCCTACCACCAGTAACATGACTGATATCAGCATCCTGCTTTCTGCTTATGCGTACTGCATACAGTGAACGATAAACATTCGTAGATTAATGACAATTATTTTTTCGTCTTGCTTAAGATATATTTTTGATCAGACGTTGCTGCTTATGCTAAAACTATAAAACGTTTTATTATCACATTTAGAAAACGATGAATTTAAGAAAACTTGTTTTATTTGTCGAACACGCGTACATACAATGTATACTAAAGGTAATAAAATGCCAAATCACCAATCTGAATGAACAACTCCTTCCGCTCCATTTCACTTTTATTTTCAAACTTCCAACTCGATGAGTCGAACGATTGAACCTATTCCGTACATAAACTTTATCCACAGTATCTACTCGTATGTGAATGGAAAAATATCGTATTCGTCCATAGCTTTGTTTATTTCAATTAAGATTTTACATATTCTATCATGATTGTATATGAGATGAGAGACAAACAAATATTTTTTGAGAAAATTATATTTTACAATAGACACACTATTGACAATAGTTAACACAAACCAACCACAAACAATTTCCTGTTGATGTCGTCGATTACATACTAACCCTTGTCCTCTTTTCACTTAGGTTCAAACTACGCCAAATTTATTAATTACAAAAGTTTATTAGGTTTACGATTTTTTTATTGATCACGTAGATTATTGGTGTTCCATCACCGGTCACCGTTCTCGTCGAACCCGTCGCTGGCGATGAAGGGCTCGACGAGTAAATTAACCCTCAGACACAGCCCACTGAGTTTCTCGCCGGATCTTCTCAGTGGGTCGCGTTTCCGATCCGGTGGTAGATTCTGCGAAGCACGGCTCTTGCTAGGGTTCGTGTTAGCAACTTCGTCAGGTTTGAGCCCCGTGAGCTCACCTACTAGTTAAGGTTCCGCTGAAACAGCCTCTCAAGGCTATCAGCTTAGGTAGGAAAAAAAATGTATGTACGTGGAAAAATCGGTAACATGCCAGAATAATTTGAACCCCGATATAGTCGAATCACTCCAGAGGAGCAAGCCGGTATACCAAACATTTTACCTATTATGCCACAGATGCATAAAAGAATTTTCTAGTTCCAAAAAATCGATATTCGATTAACTTTCAATGGTTAATATAGGATGGTGTTTGAATGACGACACGAACATTTAACATATCAAACAATAAGAGTACTTTTGTAATTAAATTGTGTGTGATCTGATGCGCAGATGTGATCAAATCATTAAAGAGGGGGCGTTAAAAGTTAGTTCTTGAATCAAAAATAAATTGTTGCTATACGCAAAAAAGGATTCTGACATGACAAATTCTTGGTTCTTCCAGTAAACTCATTAATTAAACTATCTATAGCCTGTCTATTATCATTCACCATTCATAGTCTTTCACTAAAAATTACTCAATTTAGATGAGCCGTCTTAAGTGATACCGCCTTAAGGTGGCCCGACCCACCCCTGGAGAAACCCCCCGATGAATATTCATACCGCGATCGACGTGCGCGCTTTATTCACTGTAAACACGCGTACGTGTCCTCTCCTGTTTCTCTTGTATTACGTAAATATCCAATCTATTCTTTTAAATTATTAAACACAGGGACGAAGAAGGTAGGTGCGGTGAATTAACGAAAGTATCCACCCGCCTATATATGTCGGCAGGAAAATTTATGACCTCGAACATATTTACCACTCGAGGGGGGATTCAGTGATCAATCTCGTCACTATTTCGAAAGTATTAATGTTGTATGTAACGTTCACGATATAGGGAATGTTTTGGTAAATTGTGGATTAGCCTTTACCTGACACCTAAATACGGCATATCAGAATACCTAATATCACTAAAGCATTCAATGAAATACAAGATACGTATTTAGAATATTTTTTATTGATTCAAATTTAATCTCTCGATCTTTTTTCCGTATTCAAAGTTAATAAAATAATTATTTGCTTTTCCTTATATTGTATGACGAAGTGCCTTGGCCGAACGTCGGAACTTTACTTACGTTAAAAGTTAAAAAGTAATGGTAGTATTTGATCCAAAAATAAAAAACGCCCAGCGCACAATACGTGGACGTCATCATTAGTGGTAAGAATGGCAGCGTTTTGTCTAAGCCCCATGCAACATGTAACATATTTTCGTAAACGCACAATAAAATAAGACCGTATATGTAAATAGATTCAAACGGTCCAATCATCGGCAGTCTCATGAAACGACGTCTCCGCTTCTTAGTAGCTTTCGTTTCAACTGTATACAAAGCTGGAACGTTACCAAAAACAATCGCCACGTGTGTCAATAGAAGAAATATTTTTATTGACAACAAATTTTTCGGGTACAGAAGCGGAAAAAGTGAATAGTGACCCACGGTTGAGAGTAAAATGAATAATCTTCCGTCCACGTCGCCAAGAACCGACAGGAAACTGAAACGAATAAAACAATGAACGGATACAGAATAAATAATTTAAAAAAAAAAGAAACGCAATAAACAATTGTTTTTCTTAAACTCTTACCTCAACGGTATTATAATCATCAAAATTGCTTTCTCGTGAACATGCCAACCCAGCATAAACGAACAAGTCGCACAGACGACAATACATCTATGGAACAAAAAATACCAACATATGAACACAATTATCGAAGCTTACCTGTTTTAGTTTCATATAAAAAAAATCGTTTTTTTTATTTATTATAAATTAGTACTGGTAACATCATTTTCGCGTTTATTGCAATTGAAATAAATAAATAAATCACCACCCTTCGTTAATTTAGAAATTCCTTTATATGCTTCAAATGGAGTACGGAATTCACTCGAACTATAGACATAGGTACCTACTAATTATATTTGATGCTCTCCACTCCACAACATATCGAGGGGTGAAAAGATACTTGGTTAAAGCGACATTTTTGCAACTTACACGAGAGCTATTTAAAGTGTAAATTATAGAAAAAAATATCATAACAAAAAACTTCTTCGGCTATTTGAATGGAGTAAACTTAATTGAAGTTCAATAAAAAACATCGAATTGTTGATACTAACACCAAATAAAACGGACCTTTAATTACAAAGATACATCGTCTTTTCGCATTAAAAGTGTACAATTTCCAAAAATATTCTAAATTGAGTTAATATGAGGAATAATTTGGCATCACCAGTATTTTTCTTACAAATACTGTCAAAAGAGCGTAGTTTCGTTTTGTTTTTTTTTTTGTTTACCTACATTTTGACTACTATAACAAAACTAATACATAATTTTATCTTACTACTAGCTGACCCGGCAAACATTGTTTTGCCATATATAAGATTTCTAGGGAATTTCTAGTGTAGAAAAAAAAACTTAACTTATTGTAAGTGTGTAAGGATGTGGTAAATGATTGAAAGAGGTATGTAGTGCTGTGAACGATGAGGGAATATATAATAAAAATAACAAAACCTCATTCAACCACATAATATAATAGCCGGCAAACTTCTTGAGCATTTGTTGACGTAGTGGGGGTAAGTTTGCGCATGGTACACTCACGTGCAAAAACATTATTTACTCTGCGTCATAATGCAATTAAATTATTAAAATCAACATATGTATTTATTTATATATTTATTAGAACATCAACAAAAAATATAGGTTAATAATTATAATAATTTAATCTTNGTCAAATCTTCATTGTCTTTCTGATTTCGTCGTGCCATTCTGTATCAATTGTTTCGTCTTTTATCAACCAAAATAATAACCAATCGTCTTCATAAATTTTTCTGAATAAAATAATCGTCGTTCCCTCAAATGGTAAAATTCTACCAAATATCGGGTATTTTTTTCAGTATGGCAATATTTTATTTCTCTTCTTGATTGACACAGATGATATTTGACAGCTTGCTTGGCGATTATGCGGCATCTAATATTCACACTTTTACACCGTACACCATGTTTTCTTCATATCCCGGACGAGCCCCCATAAAAGTTGTGGGATTTATGAATGGTAGGGTGTAGATTACCGCAGAAATTCACACAAAATAATTAAAACAATCTTAACGTCGTACGATCCTTTACTACTTCTTTTGACAACTGACTTCTCATCTAATTTTACTTCACAGTGACATCTATCAACATTATAAAAGTGACATAAAAAGAAAATAAGAACAATCAGAATCCCACATATATACAGGCAGTAGGTTGGCACCAACGGGCGTGGACTTACAACTATACCAGCAGCTGTTCGTAATTTACCTTATAAAACAAATAGGTCTGTATCTTCTGTCCGCACAAAGACACCACATCTTGTACAATGCGGGCATCATAGACAAACACGTCATTATAAAAGTGAAACTCGGCGTAATTGATGGTAAAACTGAATGGTCGTATTCTTGCACTAGCCCTCCTGTCATCGATGCTTCCGATTTCGGTATGTTAATTCCATATTTTGTTACTAGAAAATTAAAAGATTATAATATATAGGTTTACAAAATTCTTATATATGTACTTAGTTTTTAAAATATCATTTCTACCCTCTTTTAATTCATCTACTTTCATGATGTTCCTGTGTGATGTAAAATAGCTGTTGATTGACTTACTTGGCTTTTATCACACAACCATAGCATGTTCGATTAATAAAGACTACTCTACAACTATTTGATTTTAAATTGATGGCCATACTTTAATTTTTATTTTAGACCAGTGACTGTGGTTCCCAATTAGTCACTCTCAAAAGTCCTGAATACCACTTCATAAACGAGCTACTACTCTATCGATTTCCGCAGCCTTTCTCTTATGAGGACACTCTTAGTGGACACTAATAAAAATACGACTGAACATCCTTTAAAATTTATCAATATTACGGAAATATCAGTGGTGATGCACTTCTTAGTCCACTGTCAAATAAATATCTAGGCGTCACTCTCGACAGAGGGATGACATTCCACCCCCACATTAAGTCGGTATGCGACTGAGCCGCGTTCATACTAGGACGCCTCTATTCGATTATTTGCAAGGGAAGTAAATTGTCGACGACATGGACCTAGAATCCATATCAGTAAGTATCTATAATTGACATCAGAGCGCCATTTCGAAAAAGCGGCACGACACGAGAACCCTCTCATCGTGGCCACCAGTAACTACATTCCTGATCCTGCAGACCGAAACAGTCGACATCACCCAAAACACGTCACTTCGGATCCTCCCGATCCACAAACGTTGCTTTTAGGTACCCCAAGCAACGGTCATTGTTCTCGTCGAACCCGTCGCTTGCGACGAAGGGCTCGGCGAGTAAATTAACCCACAGACACAGCCCACTGAGTTTCACGCCGAATCTTCTCAGTGGGTCGCGTTTCCGGTCCGGTGGTAGATTCTGCAAAGTGCTGCTCTTGCTAGGGCTAGTGTTAGCAGCGCCTCCAGGTTTGAACCCCGAAAGCTCACATACACGTTAGGGTTTCGCTGACATAGCCTTTCAAGGCTATCAACTTAGGTAGCATAAAAAAGCACCTCTTTAAAGTTCCGATGTCTTTCATTTAGCTGGCTCGATGGTGCAGTAGTTAGCGCCCTTGTTCGACTTTACTTCGAGGTTCGATTCTCACATCGAGCAAATATTCGTGTGATGAACACATTTGTTCACTCTTTGTCTATGTGTGTTTATTATATAGATATATGTATATACATTTATTTATATGTTTATAGGTATTTACATCAGTGATTGGTTCCCATTATATGTACTTATATGTAGGTGTCTACGCGATACACTGTGGCTTTATTGTTTCAATAATAACACCAATTGAATGCTTGTTACTTGCTTTAATTACAATTTACAATGCTTTAGTCGTGATTGTTCGTCGATGAATGTATGAATGTGACCTTTCTCGAAAAGGAAGGATCTTGTGCCCATAATGATTATTGTGAGGTATATTAAGAATGTTGTTGAATGCTGTCAGCGCGCGGTGCCGGTAGTAGTAAATGTTTTGGCTAGCTTGCTGTGCTAAACGCGTCAGGCGCCGCGACAGTAGGTATACCCATTATATGTATTGCCATAAATATAGCTGTGCTTAGCATTACCAATGTACACCAATAAAGGTTTACTTCTAATCCTAACAAGACCATCAAATTAAAATATTATACTGGAATACATGCAAAGTCAGTTTTTACATTAATCTATATATCTATTAATATATCTAAAAATTAAAACAAAAATACTTACATAAAAATACTAATAATTTATCACCTAAATTGTACAGAGCCCAGAAATTGGGAGCCCAATATGCGTGGCAAAGTCCTCTTTTAAATGGAAATAATCTGACTAAAATCTAAAATAAAATGATTCCATTTGTACATTCATTTTAGAATAATATAGTTTAACTTTTAAACACATATTGTCAGAATTTGTTAACTTTGGTAGCAATAGTCATCTAAAAGCAAACAAAATAAGGCTCTATCAAATAATGGAACCAGAATAATTGAATAAAATAAAAAATCACTCACCTGATTCAAATGGTCTAAAAATGGTCCAAACGATAAAGTAAATACTGATACAACAACAAATGCCAGTTTAATAAAATTTGTTATTGAAAAGGAATACCAAGCTGTGTGAACTCCGTCTATTGATGAAAGAGTGAAACAGTATGCTCTTAACAAATATACCACATACACTGGGGCAATATATAAAAATATATGTTTAAAATTAAGTAACATGGCAAACCAGAATGCAGCTTGTAGATGATTACACTGAAAAAGAAATAAAAGTTTATCATAACTTTTACTAGTTCAAGAAAGGAAATACTTTTTTTTTTGACACAGTTTCAGATGTTGAATAGCTGTTAATCAATCCCTAATATTTCATTTTAATAACTTCATGGTCCTTAAGCACCACAACAAGAGTTACACCATCACCTTGAGACCTGATGTTAGTCTCCTTTGTATTATGATAACAACTGTTCTAAAAGTCAAACTTAAATGCATGACATCTATGGAGCAAAAATAGGCACAATAATCACAGTTGTGTACACGTGTGGAGGCTAGTTTAAGTTGATTTCTCCCTTGCCAATGAATTATAGATAATGATTGATTCAGCTATTTTATAATTGGGTAGTTATATTTAATCTAATTACTCATATTATATAGGAACATCAAGCAAATACATACCCTTATCATGTTTGATATAGAAAACAGAAGAAAACCATATAAAAATCCATTATATTGAAAGTGTATATGATCAACCATCAGCAAGCCAGGGTTGGACACTAATAAAATAAAAACTAATAGCTTTCCATTGCTGACTAGATTTGAGCAACTGAAAAAAAAACATTAAATTAAAAGTATACCTTTCCCAACTACTAAGGATGTAAGGAAATCAAGGGTGAGCACTTATTAGCATTATGCTTAGTAATTAATGAACAACTCATTAAAGCAACAATTGTCAAGTGTAACTTTCCATCACAATACTACTTAATGCAATTCTAGCAATGTTATCAAACTGTCCAAACATAGTTTCTTTTTTTATTGCAACAAAGGTAGATGAGTGTGTACCTAGTGGTAAGTGGCCACAGTCACTCATGGACATTTGCCAGGGGCAAAGCAAAGCTGCTGCCTATAACAAGTGTTAACAGCAGCTTCACTCACTATATCTAGTAAATCAGATTTCTATTATACTGAGATAACTAACTTAAATACAGTGTGCTTTGATACATTGAAACACCACCATCTATCAAGCTACATTTTCCCATTACCATTTTTTCTACATAAGAGTGAATTTGAAATTTTGTGGAACAAGTAATTGTTACTGTTTCTTTTAAGCAATGATTATTATTGATACAGTTGTAAGTTATAATAGGTATAGTTTTCATTATTAAAATGTTATCACTCTATTGCCTTTTTGTTTTGAGATGTTAAAAGTACGATATGAATATGAGGAATATGTTTTCAGTAAAAGATTTCAAACCTTTTTTTAACCCTTTAAGGATGTAATATCATAGACAGGTGTATGAGATGTTACTGTCACTTGATATTGCAAACTCAACTAAGTAGATGGTGAGAAATTAGTCAGTCAGAGCTAATAATTTTGGCAATTAAATGAATGCAATCTGCATCATAAGTAATTTCAGTAAAAAACCATAGATTAAATCACTTTATTAAGTGATTTAAAACCATTATATCATGGTAAACAGCTAAATAATATCAACATACCTTTTAACACTAAAAATGTAAACAAAGTCTAAAAAAATCACAGATAATCTTTGGAACAGCACGGCCATATCAGATTTATAATTTAGATTTTCTATTTTTATCATTTTGGGATCAAAATATTTTGCTACAATAGACAAGCCATATTCTAGCCAGGCAAAGAGTGGAGGGTAGTCCAGTGTCCACTCTGATGTCGATTCGTAATACCACTCTTCGACGGAAACATTATTCGTGATAGCCAACCAATTTCGATGCACTTCAAAGTCTGTTGAATGACTAAAACAAATTGAAAAACAATTCATTTAATTATAAGATATGCATAATATGAAAATTTGCAGATGTAAAATGCAATGTATATGTATACTCACTACAATGGTATGAACATAAACTTAACGGCTGTAACTATTAGTACTACTTGGGTAATCATCTTTAACACTTTTTCATTTACCTACAGTAACAGTCACAAAGTCTATTAAAACGCACCGGGATAATTTGTAAACATAACCTTCTATTGCAAATTGCAATTGCATTTCATTTTTCTAATGGGAAAGGCGAAGGTGTCACACCAACGGCTTAATGTTTTGTAATTCTATTAAAAAAAGATCTGGAGCTAAATAAAATGAATTTGATTAATTTGAGAACAATGTAGACGGTAGAACACTTCGAGGAAGAGACATTGGTCAGAACAAGTGGCCGTCAAACACATCTTAAATATTAAGTGTACCTATTATCTATGACTCAGAATGCGAATGCCTCAGTCTCTTCCACAGGCCGCGAAGATCGTAGCAAGTAGAAGAGTTTTCTGCAGTAATGCGTTTCGGTTTGAAGGGTGGGGTAGCTGTTGTAAACTACACTAAGACCTTATAGAACTTATATCTCAAGGTGGGTGACGTTGTAGATATCTATGGGCTCCAGTAACCACTTGACACCAGGTGGGCTGTGAGCTCGTCCACCCATCTAAGCAATAAAAGAAAAAAAACAGAAGAACAGAAGGACTTTTTGACGGGAAGGGGAGGAGTAAAGTTGTGCGATTTGTTTTATTTTGTTTACTTAGTGTTTATTCAGGTTTAAAGCCTTCGTCAAACAGAACGCGTACTTAGCGCGCGTCAGAGCGCTAAACTAACGCCGCGTTATGACGCTGGGATCATACCGTCAAACAGAGCGCCAGGAGCGCTATAGCGCTGGCGCTCTGTTTGACGGTATGTTACCGTAGTAGTACAACACATCTCGGCGTCATAGCGTAGCGCTCTGACGCGCGCTAATTACGCGTTCTGTTTGACGAAGCCCTAAGTGTGTAGTAACGGTGGTTTATTAACTGTTAAATATCTGTGAAAGTGCACAAATTTGGGAAAATGTATGAATTCTATTTCATCCCATTTCATTTGATTTCATCCCAGTTGAATTGTCTCAAATTAGTCATATTCATTTCATTTCACTCCATATTATCATTTTTCATAAAAATAAGAATTTATAAAATATTTTGTATCTCAGGAATGTGGACAAGATAGGATCATAATAACAAATTACATTGAATTACATAAATATTGTAGTGTTGACAATTGTTATTTTTATATTGTTGGTTATCAATATGTGTAATTTTCAGATGCCTGATGAAGGTCTAATAAAAGACCGAAACGTTGCAAAAATAATAATGTAATTTGTTATTATGATCCTATCTTGTCCACGTTCCTGAGACACAAAATATTTTATTAATAATTATGAACGATATTATTGATAATAATAAGAATTTATATTAAATAAGATATGACTTAAAAGTCTTATTTACCAGGTCATAAAATCCCTTAAAAAAAGGGACAGGACTTTTTGGCGGGAACGCAAGGAGTGAAGTTGTATGATTTGATATATTTTGTCTATTCAGTGTTTCTTCAGGTTTAAATGTGTAATAACGGTGGTTTATTAACTGTTTAATATCTGTGAAAGTATGAAAGTGCACAAATGTGAGAATATGCAACAAAGCCGCTGGACGCAACTTCTCGGGATCCTAAAAGTCCACTGACAATTTTTCAGTAAATGACCACCATTTTACGGAGACTATATTTCATTCCATATCATCTCATCTCATTTCATTTATTTTCATTCCAGTTGATTAATGTCTCAAATTAATCATCTTCATTTCATTTCATTTCGTTTCACTCCATATTATCATGTTTCATAAAAATAAGAATATAAATTAAAATAAGACATGACCGGTTAAACTTTCCTTTTGGGTCCGTCGATTTTTGGGTCGGGATGGAGGTGGGGGGAGGGAGGGGGTAAGGGTTTCTGTATACAAAGGTATACCATACTGTACCGTAAGATAGGTACCACCATCCTTATATCTTTACTGTGTAATAGTTCAGTGCACAAGTAATGCCTAGCCATTACAAATTGTAATTGAGATTTCAACATCAGAGTCTCAAGGTTAGTACCAGCATATAATGTGTTATGTCTGTGGGCTTTGGTAACCAGTTAAGATCAGGTCGGTCATAAGATCATTTCCATATAAGTAGTGCATAAAAAACTTAAGAAGCATGAAAGCTTCAGTGAACCTTGTTCCCTATTTCTACTAAGGCATTACAAAGGCTTATTAGGGCACTAGCTTTTAAAAATAACCTGTATTTTACAGAACCCACATAGACTGTTTGGCAGCAGCCTCCAAATGGAGGACAGCCACTGGCCAGTTGGGCTCTATTGCCATGTGAAATTGTTTTACGCCACCAAAGGATTACCTACATCAATGATGAAACATTCAAAGATGTGAAATATAAAATTTAAATCTATTGCAATATTGAAACATATAATTTATTAGTCTATCAAGAAATATTTAGTAATAGAAAAAAAAAAAAACTATATAGTCATAATCCAAATAATTCATTAAATATTGACTGAAAACCATTCAAGTTCATGAATTTAGAAAACTCACTCATGTTAGAAAATTTTGTGTTATTGTTAGATTGAAATTGTAATTCCTCAAAATTAGTAAACTTTCTATCATTTTCTAAACATTCTAAAACCTCTGATTTCTGAATAACTAATTTCTGCCAATTTAAACATTTGATCTCCCTCCACCAATCTTCACAGTCTTTTGTTTCACCTTCAATGCAGACTATTCCAGGTTTACCGGGCAAACAGAAGCCAGTCAAATTTAACTCTTTTGCTTTCTTCACAATCTTTTCTCTCTTTTTCTTGTTGTATATATGATGAGAATACACCCAAAGCCTTGAAAACTTTTCATCAAATAATTTTGAAGTACTAGTTTCTTCTGCAGGCAGTACTTCTGATAGTTTTATATCCTCAATATGTTCTTGTATCCATGTTATGATTGTGTATAAACACAACTCGCCTCTGTTAATAGTTTTCATAAATTCTTGCAGTTGACTATTGATTAGAGTTTCTTGCATTCGATTTAGTTGATTACATCTAATGTATACATCTGGTCCTTCTTCTGGGTAAAAACTTGGAAGATTGATTGAAATTTCAATTTTAAATTGATTGTTAAAAAGATTTAACGTAAAATCTAAATTATCAGGAACATATTCAGAATTATTCTCAATAAAAGACTTAATGTCTTTTATGTTTTTATTACATAAAATTAAATCCCCTTTATTGGGATACATTGATTCTAATAATTCTAATTCACTCAATTGCTGCGTTAAGCACTCAACAAATCGTTCTTTACTTGAATTATTTGTTCCTTCAATATCCATTTTACGAAGATAAACAATTCAGGGGAACTAGGTACATTAATATTTACGGATAGAAATATATTTTATTTAATTAATGAAAACTTTTTTTTTTGTCTACACATAATTCTTCTTCCGTTTGATTTTGGCTCGCGCGGCTTGCGCATTTGCCACAAAGCAAAATAAAATCTTGGGAAACTACATAATAAAAACAAAAACTTGAACGAATTCGCAGGGGAGATTAGGAAAGTTAGAGAATATATGAAGATACATATATAAATAAGATTAAATTAAATATGTACATCATTAGATAATATAAATAAAGACAATAAACTGTATACATTATTAGATATGTATGTAGAATTCATAGATACGCCTAATTAGATTGNAAAATAAAAGCTTGGGAAACTACATAATAAAAACAAAAACTTGAACGAATTCGCAGGGGAGATTAGGAAAGTTAGAGAATATATGAAGATACATATATAAATAAGATTAAATTAAATATGTACATCATTAGATAATATAAATAAAGACAATAAACTGTATACATTATTAGATATGTATGTAGAATTCATAGATACGCCTAATTAGATTGCTACATATATTTTGTCTATTTAGTGTTTCTTCAGGCTTAAATGCAGTGTGACCATCTCTAAACTATAGATCCTGCCTTACTTTAGTTGAAAACCTGCCAAATCCTGCCAACGTCTATAGTAAAAAATGCTTAATTAATGCCAACTTTATTAACCGTTGTAATAAACCAAGAAAAATAAAAATACAGGAGTTTCATATTTTCACATACGCTCTTTCATATTTTCGCTTCATCACCACCACCAATAATAATAAGTATCGCCCAAGAAATGTCTAATATCCTAATCCTATATATATTATAGTCTAATATCATAATCCTACCTAATCTATCTATAAGTATGTCTCTATGACTGATTAAATCTTCGATCAATAATAGTTATACTCTATTATTTATCGAAGGATTAAATTGAAATATAAACCGTAAACTCGTATTTATGAATACTCGTTTCAAGATTATCAACTTTCTAAGCAAAGTTTTAAAGTTTTTAATTGAATGTGATACGAATATAGTACGAGAAGTATGGGGAAATCCCCTACATGCTCACGAAGTATCTTCAGGGTTGTCATTTTTTACATTTTATTTTATTTTCTTTATCCAAATTCCCAATACGACCAAAAACTGTCAGAAGCTAAAATAAGAGTATGTGGCGTTTAAGAACGCACCTTTTTATGATGCGTAAGCCGGAACGCACGAGAGGTGGGAAAAAGAATATAGTCTGTGCCACGGGACCTTTTTACCGCCAAATATTTAAAACATAAAAATAATTTATAATGTGTTAAATAACTAATATAATATAATTACTTAGAATTGTTTATGCCGCTACAACAATAAAATTTAAACATTTATTTAAATTTAACATTTACGCAAAATGCGTGTTTGGTGCTCCTGAGGTTACTTTTCTCGGAAACAGAATATCCGCCGACAGAACACAACCACCATCAGAGTGCATTCAAGCTCTAAAAGATTTTCTTCTACCACAGACCGTACAAGGACTCCGTCGTTTCATTGGGATGGTTAATTTTTATCGCCGATTTCTGCGCAATGCGGCGAAGTTACAAGCACCGCTAGTCAACGCGATCGTGGCCGCTGGAGGTAAAGGTCTCACACCGATCATTTGGACACCTGAGCTCGAGGAATGCTTTAATGCCTGTAAAGATAGCTTGTCATCTGCAGCTCTGTTGGCACACCCGTTGCCTAACGCTGAACTAGGGCTTTTCACCGACACTTCCAGTTCTCACGTTGGTGCCTGCCTTCAGCAGAAAGTCGGTGATGCTTGGCAACCTCTGGGTTTCTTTAGTAAAAAGCTGAATCCCCGACAGTGCCAGTGGCCAGCATACTACCAAGAACTTCTTGCAGTATATGAAAGTGTGCAACATTATCGACACTTCCTAGCCGCACAGCACGTAACGATTAATACGGACCATAAATCATTAGTTTACGCGTTCTCGCAACGTCGCGAAAGGCTTCCTCCGGTACAGTTAAATCAACTGTTTTTTATTTCGCAGCTTACCACGGATATTGTCCATATAAAAGGGGTGGACAATACGGTGGCGGACACCATGTCCCGCATCGAAGCTGTTAGTTTTGAAACTGACCATTCTGCTCTCTCCGCTTGCCAAAAACTTGACGACGAATTGAAAAAGTATCGTAACGATGCGAATTCTTCTCTAAAACTAGAGAACGTCTTAGTTCCTGGCACAAACACTGTTTTGGTCTGCGACATGTCAACAGGGCGAGCACGCCCATTTGTATCGGAACCTATGCGAAAGAAGATTTTTGCTCAGCTACATAATCTTAGCCAACCTGGTACTAGATCAACCATTCGATTGATCTCAGACCGTTTCGTGTGGCCTGGCATTGCCAAAGATTGCCGTTATTGGTGACAAACCTGCGTTGCTTGCCAGCGAAGTAAAGTGACGCGGCATATAAAATCTCCACTTGGACACTTCTCCAGTCCTACGTCTCGGCTGAAGCATGTCCATATTGACATCATTGGCCCTCTTCCATCTTGTTCTGGCTTCCAATACTGCCTGACTGCTGTGGATCGCTACACTCGATGGCCCGAAGTTTGGCCTATGCACGGAATAACAGCAGAAGAAGTAGCGAGCACCTTTGTAGCCGGCTGGATTGCTCGATTCGGAGTTCCTGCTGTCATCACAACCGACCAGGGACGACAGTTTGAGTCGGACCTTTTCAGACGCCTTACTAATTTATGTGGTACTAAACGTATACGCACTACTAGTTACCACCCTTGTGCTAATGGGCTCGTGGAGCGCATGCATAGACAATTAAAGGCCTCTCTGATGTGCTATGATGATTCGTGGTTGAATGCATTACCTTTGGTCTTATTAGGAATGCGTTCTGCTTTTAAAGAATATCTACAAGCAACAGTAGCGGAATTGCTTTACGGAGAAACGTTAACGCTTCCAGGGGAACTGTTAGTACCTCCCGGTCCCTCTGGCTTCGAGGACCCGACGGATTTTGTCGTAAAGTTAAGACAGCGTATGTCTAAATTGCGTCCCACTCCGTGTTCCTCACACACTAAACCATCACCTTTCATATTTCAAAATCTTTCCACCGCCTCTCATGTCATGCTCAGGGAGGATTCGGTTAGACGTTCAATGCAACCACCTTACTCTGGTCCTCATAGAGCTATATCTAGAGCCGAGGACGGAAAACGTGGTCGATTGAAGTAAAAGGGAAACAGGTGACGGTCAGTGTCGAGAGAATTAAGCCAGCTTTCGTCGAACATTCTTTAGTAGATCTCGTTCCGGCACCAGCACCACGGGTTTCTGTGCTTCAACCAGCGCAACCGGATGCTACTGATGTCCCTTCATGTCCACTCGTGCCGTCGGCACCTCTAACTGCTACTCCTACGCATACACCTCACTATACCACCCGGTCGCAGAGTCCACTTTTCCAAACCTTTCGACCTCTGATCATTTTTCTCTTTTTCTGCGGATTCTCCTTCTCCGTAGGGGGGTGGTGTGGCGTTTAAGAACGCATTTTTATGATGCTTAAGCCGGAACGCACGAGAGGGGAAAAAGAATATAGTCTGTGCCACGGGACCTTTTTACCGCCAAATATTTAAAACGTACAAATAATTTATAATGTGTTAAATAACTAATATAATATAATTACTTAGAACTGTTTATGCCGCTACAACAATAAAATTTATATTGTTCCAACTGCGGTGTTAATTACATAAAACACGACTTTACGGCGAAATAAAGAAGGGACTCTATATGAACTCCTTCAAGTTCAATCCTGCTAAAATGGCAGGATCCTGCCACATATGGTCACACTGCTTAAATGTGTAACTGTTAATAACGGTGGTTTAATGAAACAAAGCCGCTGAACGTAACTCCTCGGGATCCTTCAAAAAGTCCACTGAAAAAATCTCAGTAAATGACCACCATTTTACTGTGATTATATTTCATCCTATATCTTCTCTAGTCATTTAATTTCATCCCAGTTGATTAATGTCTCAAGTAATCATGTTCGTTTCATTTCATTTCACTTCATATTATCAGTTTTCCTAAAAATAACAATATAAATTAAAATAAGACATGACTTAAAGGTCTTAGTTACCAGGTCATAAAATGTACCTTTGAAAAAATATCTAATTGTATTTGCTTAATCTGTGGAAGTGCATTATCTATGACATACGCGACTTTTTGGCGGGAACGCGAAGAGTGAAGTTGTGTGATTTTGTTTTATTTTGTTTAATTTGTGTTTCTTCAGGTTTAAATGTGTAATAACGGTGGTTTATTAACCGTTTAATATCTGTGAAAGTGTACAAATGTGGGAAAATGAAAAAAAGTTGCTGAACCTAACTTCTCGAGATCTTCCAAAAAGTCCATTGAAAAAGTCTCAGTAAATGACCACCATTTTACTGAGATTATACTTCATCCCATATCATCTCATTTCATTTCGTTTCATTTTCATTTCATTTCATGCCATGTTTCATAATAATCAAATTCATTTCATTTCATAATATCATATTTCATAGAAAAAAGTTATTAAAATTAAAATAAGACTTGACCTAAAGGTCTTAGTTACCAGGTCATAAAATCCCTTAAAAAATTGGCGGGAACGCGAGGAGTGAACTTGTGTGATTTGTTTTATTTTGTCTATTTAGTGTTTCTTCGGGTTTAAATGTGTGATAATGGTGGTTTATTAACTGTTTAATATCTGTGAAAGTGCACAAATGTGGAAAAATGAAACAAAGCCGCTGGACGTAACTTCTCGGGATCCTCCAAAAAGTCCACTGAAAAAATCTTAGTAAATGACCACCATTTTACTGAGATTATATTTCATCCCATTTCATTTCATTTAATTTCATCCCAGTTGATTAATGTCTCAAATTAGTCGTCTTCATTTCATTTCACTCCATAATATCATTTTTCATAAAAATATGAATATAAATTAAAATAAGACATGAATTAAAGGTCTCAGTTACCAGGTCATAAAATCCCTTAAAAAATATGACATACGCTAAGTCCGGCAAAAAATAATTCAATTAATGTCAAGCAAATTTTCTTACACTGGAAAGTGAAAACAACCTAATGTTAACACATGTATACAAATAATTAACATTCTCGGAATGTTCCCAAATATGTTGTATACTCAGAAATCTCTTCAAAAAATTTGCCACGACGATTAATATTAACATCAATCAGTTAATTATGACCAGTCTTTAAACTCTAATAAAACATATGATATCAATCATAATACTGCCGATGCCGAACCCTCAATTGTCAACATTGTTGCTCAGAGTAGTACATGTGATTTAACTACAAGTAAAATGCATTGTGGTATGAGGCAAGTTGGAGAGAGGCATGTGCCCTATCAAGTTGATCTTATGGTCTGGAGTAACCGTCTGGATTTGCTAGCATTAAGTAATAATAAAGGTATGACAGATCTCAATTCATCATCTAATTTAAAAAAAATATTACAAAACTATGTACACATCGATTGTATGATTCAGACTGAATGCATTATATTATCTTCTGTTTTATCGCGTTAATGTAATTTTTCTTGTACATAAAGCAAGTTTTTTAATTACTAAATCTACTTAGCCCTTGGTAGAGTCTTCAGAATACAATAAATTCAGTCCAGTCTAACAGATGTGCTTTTGTTTGCTGTTGATTGAATTTGCAGTCAGCTCTAGGGCAGGATAATGGTCTGTTCAGAGTTTACGGGACTGCCATGTTAGAAGTTTCTAGGATCTGCATCATCATTAGTTGTGTTAGTTTACGATGACAAGACTTAAACTTGAGTTTGCATTAGGGTCTGGTTTTTTTGCTGATTTAGATAGATTAAGAATGTAAGTCACACAACTAACTGTAAACTTTCCTAAAAGACGTAAGCAGTGGTGATTAGTTAGTGTAAGACAGGCTGTAAGTTTAAGCTTTTAACTTTTATTTATTTTTATTTAAGGTGAAGTCCAAATACATAGATTGCATTGGCAAAAAGTATGGAGCTTACCACCTCCAAAAGAAAATGGCTGTGTACAAGCGATGGCTTGGAGACCTGATGGAAAGGTATTAAATAAAGCACTAAAATACCAAGTAACAGTACCTACTGAACTGTATTTAATTCTAAATCTAAAATTTTGTGGTAAATGGTTTCAGGCTCTAGCTATTGGATACAATTTAGGAATTATTTATACAGTTAGTGTGGAAGACAAGGGTATAATTGATAAGTATGAATTGGAACTAGAAGTCACAGATGAACTTGATACTGCTAAGTATAGCGGCATTTCTTGTATTGTATGGGCGATACGAACTGACATCTTGCAAAGTGCCACTGAATATAATTTATATGTGAGTGATTCAAAGTTAACAATAGCTTATAAATTTAGTAGATATATGTATAAATAAGGACTAGTAATCTAAGGAACCTAAATATGTTTAACGTTTGGGGTTTCAAAGATTAGAGCAATGTCCAATTTTTTTACAGTCNGCGGCATTTCTTGTATTGTATGGGCGATACGAACTGACATCTTGCAAAGTGCCACTGAATATAATTTATATGTGAGTGATTCAAAGTTAACAATAGCTTATAAATTTAGTAGATATATGTATAAATAAGGACTAGTAATCTAAGGAACCTAAATATGTTTAACGTTTGGGGTTTCAAAGATTAGAGCAATGTCCAATTTTTTTACAGTCTACAATATTTTGTTATAATTCTGATCTATCAATACACCACTGATGTTCCAGGTGGCAAATAAAGTGTATTTATTTTACAAACCTGCATAAAATTGTGTCATCATTAGATTTATCACCACCAGCTCATTTGATCAAGTCTATACATTCTTCCAGCTCTTCTATTAGGAGTTTTTATTCATATTACTCTAGATAAGCAGACAAACTCTCAGAGGGCCTACCTTGAGGGAAGGGGATTAGTGGGTCAGCGATTATGCAACTGAATCTTCACATCTTGTCTCAAAGTGGGCAGTGATATTATGATATCTATGGGCTTAGGTAAATTCTAACACCCTGTGACAGTTACTGGTAAATTCTAACAGCCTGTCTGCCTGAATATACCTAGTCAGGTCATAAATTCTGTCACATGTTTAATGTAAAATAATTGAAACAAGTTTATTCATTATGTAACCATCCATATACCAAAATGAACTTAACAAAACATAGATTCTTATGACACTAAAGTTTATTCAAAATGACCTCTGTGATTTTGAATACAGGCCTTCAATCTGCGCGGCCAGTCGTCTATCGCAGCACGAACGAGGTCCATGTCAATATGGGCGGCTGCCTTAATCAAGGATGTCTTGAGTGACTCCAAATTGGGATGAGGCTTTGAGCACGCCTTTTCCTCCAAGTGTTGCCATATCTTGTAATCTAACGGATTCAAATCTGGACTAGAGGAGGGCCAGTCTTCGTGCCGGATGAAGTCGATTTCACGCGTCGCCGGCCAGTCTTGTGTGCTCTTCGCTCTATGAGCTGGCGCCGAATCTTGTTGGAATACCCAGTGCCTGTTATTGAACATGGTATGAGAAACAGGTTCCACAAGGTTCGTCAGGACTGTATTTTGATACACAACTGCATTCATTTTTACACCTTTCTCACAAAAATGTACCTCTGTTAAGCCCCAATAAGAAACTCCCAACCATACCATGAGCGAGGATGGAAAATGACCTCGTTGGACACGCGGAATACGGTTGCTCGCTTCTTCACTACTGTGTGCGTACACCTTATCATTTTGTTTGTTGTAGCTCTCTTCTACGGTAAAAATTTTTTCATCCGAAAAAAGAATTTCCCGATATTTTTTTCCCGCGTACCGCTTCAACAAAGCGCGGCATCTCTTCAGTCTCAGGTCCATTAGACGAGCATTCAAACGATGTCCTGTTTTTCTTCGATATGCCCGAAGCCCTAAGTCTTAATTTAACACCCTTTTCACCGTGGTTCTGCTTAACCCCATCTGAAGGGCCAACAGTTTCTGCTTACGTTTGGGATTTCTTTGAATTCGCGCCTTCACAGCTTTTATCACTGCTGGAGTCCTAACAGACCGAGGGCGACCACTCCTTGACCTGTCATCTACACTAGATTCTTCATTGTATCGTTTGATGGTACGATAGACGAATCTTTTGGTTATATTCAAATTTTTCAGTATGTTAAAAATTTGAATTGGCGCGTAACCGCAACGATGCAACGCAATAACTGCAACACGGTCTTCTTTAAGCGTCCACTCCATATTTAAAAATGAGTATAATTCTAAAAGTATACATTTTTATTTTCATGAACAATTCGAAATTCGAATTCAATAAACTTTTTTGTGGCCAGCATTCTAAAAGAAAAGTTTTTACTGTGTGACAATACTTATGACCTGACTAGGTATTTCATAAGTTTGGTTTTTATGCAATAATATATAAAAATACATAAAAATTTGCCATAGTAATTACTGCGAAACTCATAAAACGTCATACAGTCTGTTTACTGGTGGTAGACCTCTTGTGAGTCCGCGAGGGAAGGTACCACCACCCTGCCTATTCCTGCCGTGAAGCAGTAATGCGTTTCGGTTTGAAGAGTGGGGCAGCCTTTGTAACTATACTTGAGACCTTAGAACTTGTATCTCAAGGTGGGTGGCGCATTTACGTTATAGATGTCTATGGGCTCCAGTAACCACTTAACACCAGGTGGGCTGTGAGCTCGTCCATCCATCTAAGCAATAAAAATAAAATAAAAAGTCGAAAACTATTGGATGACATTTGGAAGTTGTAAACTAACTAAAAATGGTTGGATTTAAAGTAATTGTTAAAAAAAGGTTGGCATACACCACGTAGCTTGGGGTTGAAAAGTGTGAAACAAGATTTATGGAGTTAACTTTTTATGAAAATTGTTTAATTCGTTAAAACCACAAACGTTCATCCTAACTACGGAAGTATTCTGTCGGTTGTTCGACTTACACTTATTCGAATTATTTTGCGTTTTACAGCAATAGGTACTTTAAGTTTCCGCGAAAATAGGTTTTCAAGTCGTATTTAAAATTAATTTATTAATATCATTAATCATTATTTCAGGATGATGCCTCAATATTTTTACAAAAAGTTCCAATGTCGAGTGGATACAAAAACAGTAATGAAGACAACAAAGATTGCAAGTACATACAGAATCCCACACAACTGAACATGTTAATTGTCGGATACGGAACAGGCAACATTTACCTGAACATGTATGGCAGGTATCCGTATGGAACTATTCAACTGGCAGAAGTGGCCAAAGATGATTTTGGAGAGTACAAAGTGTTAGACGTTAATATGTCAGATGACTTCAGTGTCATGCAAGTTCTTTATGTGGATAGATTGACAAACAATGTTTTTTTGGCTATTGTTAACACCGGCGTATTATCTGCATACGCCGATGAAATAAACACGGTAGCACATAAACATGGACAAATTGTTCAGCTGATGACTCAACTTGATCAAACGATGATTTCAATTACTGAAGCATGGGAACATATATTGCTTGAAATGGATACTAAAATGGCATATTACGCTTCATCTGTGCACGAGGGAGGGGTTTCAGCTGATCTATTAGAACTGCTCATGTTAGGTCTGTACTACTTCTTGCTTTTCTAAATATATTTTTTTAATGATAAATAAATAAATATTTACTAACGATTACGTCACGTTAACTGGTCCCGTGATATAATACACATCTATAACCCTAGAAAAGACATTTTATATTTATCATACAAATATTTTCCCTTGACGGGATTCGTACCCGCGACCCCTTTGTGTAGTGACCATGTCACTTACCACTACATCAGACGGCCGTTAAATTGTGTCCATACGATAATATGTAGTCTATGTAGTCTATATTGATTATCATTGAAGACAAATGGCAGATGGTAAGAAGTTACTGTCATTTATGAACATCAACAATGTAGGGCGCATCCACGCTCTGTGAATACATTAACTACATAATATATCGTTTTTTGTTTGTTTAACCTTTTGAGCGCGAACTGTCGATAGATCGACTCTCATCATCATTCTGCTGCCCCCTTTCTATCAGTCACCTTCGGTCAGCGCAGTTTGTTTAAAGGTATTAGGTACCGATATGTACGGAAGTGTCTTAGCGCGCGCATATTTAACGTTTTCAATAAGTTAATACATTTGTAAATAATAATTTATTTTGCTGTAAATTTAGCATTGATTTTTGTATATTTTTTTAAGTAAAAGTTTTGTTGTGGTAATTTTTTTCAAAAATCTTTTACATTTTTATGCAAAATATGTGAATATAAGCTCAGCACTCAAAGAGTTAACGTAAGCTCGCAGGTCTCTTGGTATTATTGGTACATAGACTGTTGTCTGGGTCCTGAGCCCTGATCTAGACTAATAAAAAATATCTAACCTATCACTTAATAATTGATCACACAACAGAATAGGTTACTTATTTATGTTTTAAGCATTTCAAAATAATAAAACGCAATCTTTTGTTGTGATAGGTACTCCATCAGTGGATTTACAAGTTTACCTTTTGGAAAAATTGACAACTAATGACTTGAAAAAATTTGGAAATTCTGTTGAATTAAGTTACTCGACCATACAGAAGCTGGTACTGAAACAACTCAATATTGTTGGCCAAAGTTTAGTTTATTATTTAGCCGAACTCAGAGGACTCACTAGGATAGAAGACAGATACAAGGTAATCATTAAAAAAAAATTTTGCTACTTATTGGTAATAAAAAAATAGACTTGGACTTCTTTACTCAATATGGGTCGCAGCGTCCACATTGGCATCTATGGCAGTAATCAATAAATACTAGGTAAGGTATCTAACCCATCTGAAATACTATATTCAATCGAAGATTTAGTATAAATACAACATCAACAATACTATCGCATATGTACACACCTGTACAGAATTCTCAGGGGTTTGATTATTTTTTGAGTCACGAGGAAACCGCTAGACTTCCAGAATTGGAGGCCTGTGGCAGAGAGTTAAACCGTCTAATAGCGCTCGTTGGTTGAGACACAATGGAAATATATGGAACGCTTAGGGTGCTAAAATTAGGATTTCCTTCCTATTCGAGTACCCCTGCTGGCTGAACGATGACGATTTGGTCCGCTAGCACTCATGGCGCGCTGCTTGCTTCTGTTAACACATTCGGTAAATCGGCAAAGAAGAGGACGGCTTTTTTGTGTGGGTCATTGCGCGAATGTGTGAGTGACCTCATAGACACAGCCCACTGAGTTTCTCGACGGATTTTCTCAGTGAGTCGCATTTCCGATCAGGTTGTTGATTCTGCGAAGCACTGCTCTTTGCTAGGGCCAGTGTTAGCATCAGTCCCGATTTGAGCCCCGTGAGCTCACCTACATGTCAAGCTGAAATAGCCTCTCAAGGCTATCAGCATAGGTAGGAGAAAAAAAGTGAGTGTATGAAGCCGCAGCGATGGCAGTCCACCGTGGACTTAGCCACAACCCGGTGTTATTTCTGAAGCAATGACAAAGCAGGGCGCTGGTTCTAACACTTATCCGCATTATCTATTGAATATCATATGACATCGTATAATATAATCATGATAGATTAGATGCAAATATTTTAAAATAATATAAACCTTTTTACAGATTCTAGGTTTAGAAGAAAGCAGTGTTACAGAAGCGATAAAAGCATGTTGTGCATTTTTAAACAAATGTCTGGAATTACAACAGGTTATTGATGTATCGATGCGGAACTATAAAGCTTTCTTCAGGTGGCTTTTTGTAGTAATCGTTAGACAACTGGATGAACAAACACCAAGTGAAATTGTGAAAATAAATCAACAGGAATTGAGCCACATAGCTGAGTTTCTCTACAATTTTGACAATGTAAAAGTAGACAGTTCAGATAAACCACCTGATAAATTGATCAAATTTAATTTAGAAAGATTAGGGCAATATTTGCAAAATCAAGAACTGACAATATTGCCAGAAGATGAAGACAACACATGGCATAAATTTCTTCAAGACAATGCTTGCTTCCTTAAAGACAATGACACATTTTTCTCCATGAAAGACTTCAAAAAATATTCATTAGTTCAACAGCAAGCACATCTTATAGAGACAGTCACTAAAGTTTTTGATGTCGTTCATAAAGATACAGGAAAATATTTTTCTGTATTATGTAATATTAGATGCCACGAAGATCAACTGAACAAAAACCTGCACAATAGTTTGAGAGTTTCACAAGTCTTTGATGACACAAATAAACGATTGATGTCTGCCTTTTTGGATATATCAAATGGAAAAGAAGGAATTTATTTTTTGGCTGTCAATATAAAGGAGAGATCTTGTAATATTGCAGTTATGAAATGCTACTTTTCTTCTTATTTAGTTCAAAATGGCACTGATGATCAACAAAATGAACCTACAAATTTATTAGATTTACAATTCTATTCCCCAGAATATTTGTCAGTTATTACAACACATCCTGAAAATGAGGAAAATACAATATTTATTCAGGTACCAGTAAAACATCTCCTGGAAAATTCTACTGAACTCAATATTAACACAAAATCTTGTATTTTTACTGACAGAAGTGTAAAGAAGGATATTGCGCCTTTATTAGAACAGAATGTTTATAAAGTGCTTGAGAAAATGGACGGTTCAAGATTAGCAGTTTCTGGAGGTCGTAAAGTAGCTGTTATCCTTTCAAAAAGTTCTCGAAAAGTTAGAGTATTTGAAATGGAAGTTGATGGTGATGATGATGAAGACGATACTCTCGATACAACACCACAATCTATTGGAAAATTTCAAAACACACCTGATAAAAGTAATACTACCAATGAAGACAATATTTTTTAATATTTATTTAAGAAATTAAATATTCTACTCATCCTTATTATCTAGTATCATTTCTTTATCTACACTAGTACTTATTGAAAATTAATAATATGTAATTGGCAATAGATTATACACATTTGTTTAAAAGCATATTATTTTGGAACTATGTATTTGGAAAAATAAATTATTACAGTATTAAAATCTAAGTCTATGACACATCTTGACTTTTTAACTAAATCAAACTACGATGTGGTGATTTAATTTGAATATTTTCAAATACTGAATTGAAATCTGTATCTAATCCTTGGTTATCTATTCCATAGAGAAGTTCAGATGATTGATTTCTGCTTGGTCCCGCAACAGGTTCATGGATGCTAGTGGTAGTTTGATTATATATTTCATCACCATCTATTTCCTCATCTGGTTCATCAACTACAAACAAAATTTAAATCCATAATTTGGTCAGTCATCATACTTATGTGGTAAAATATAAAAAATGATAAGGGCTTTCCAAGTTAGTATAGTAACATTAAAAATACAGTAAAACCTCATAAAGGGAAATACAATTTTTTGCTACACTTTACATTAATACTTAATTCAGAAAAGCAAAGAATACATATTTTTCTTAAATATTCAATTTTTAATTAAAAATATATAATTTATTTTATATTGATTCAATTACTTTCATAATTTTAGTGATGAATTAGTCTAGTTTTGCTTGTATATAACAAGTAGCTTTTGCCCGCAACTTCGTCCGCGTTGAATAGTTACTTTGGCATAACGCTAAATTTTACCCACCTCTTCATTTACGTAGAAAGTGAAAATGTTTTTGAATAATAAAATGTTAAGGAGCTATTTCCTTAAATAGTAATTAGGTTAAAAACCGTGATTTTGGTACCTTTACCAAAATCACGCGTTTTAGCCAACTCCAAAAGAAAAAAGTTATCAACTCGACCATAATTTTTTATCTATGTTCACCGATTTCTCAAGAATGCTAGAACCGATTTTGATAATTCTTTTTTATTTTTATCGAAAGGGTAGACTTCCCGAATGGTCCTGTTTACATCAAGATCTGATGATGGGATCTTAGAGAAATCCAGAAAAATCTATAGGTAATTGCAAAGCCTATCTTGAAGTGATTTGGGTGTTTCAATGTTGTAATGAATAACGTATACAATACGACCGATGTATCTTGGCGAGTCCGAACTTCGCGCAGAAGGCTGCGCACAAACGTTTTTAGGAACCAAATGGTGGCATGACCGACGTGCGCGGGGCGGAGGTCTAGGCTAGGATTTACTCTGTGTAAACACAATCGTCCCTTTATTCAATCAAATATCGCAATCGGTTTTTATCGATTTAGAATTTATTGATTTTTGTTTTTATGAGATACTGAACGAAATAGATTTACAAACTTATTGAATGTTGTCGTTAGTAGACGAGACTTCATCTTTAATAATAAAAAAAACTAATAACACTTTATTTTCTTGGTTGAAAGACATGATTTAGTTGAATATCAGTTATTTATAAACAACTACTACAATAGGGACTGTTTGTTAATATTTTAAACCTTCTATAAAATGGAATATAAATATATTTTTTTATTTAAATTTTAATCAATTTGAAAAAAATTCGATTAAACAACATCCTCAAACCCGCATATTGAACATCCCTTTTCTTGACATCGTATAAATTCGGTAATGCTCGGTACGCGGTAATGTGTCTCACTCACACGCTAGCATTAGTGTCGTGTTCGTGTCGCTATCTCTGTCTTCAGTACGGGCGGCTACAAAAGTTTTCATTGATTTGTTATTATTATACTGTTTTTGTTTAGTGCTCAGTTTAGTTTTAAGATTGTTTGTGTTTAAATTTGTTTTAGTACTAACTGTCCTTTGGCATTTATACAATTCGTTAACAAAGATGCCACCAAAGCATAATAGTGTTTTAAATCGTCGGTCGACAAACATCATTTTTGATAAAAAAAATTAAAAAGAAAAAGAAGAAAGCGTAATAGATGTTGACAGTTTTATTTAGAGTTGATAACGCAACTGGTGTATCGCAACGAACAGTACAGCAGATCGCAACTGAAGGCAGTGTTCGGGCTTACTTTCGAATTAATTTAATTACGTTATTTTTACAGCTTTCTGTCTTAATTTATTATTCTTTTATTATCTCTCTTTAATTTATTACGTTATTTTTATAGCTTTCTGTCTCATAGTGTTTTGATATTCATTTTATTTGTACTTGGTCCCTGTATATGGAAATTTTAATTCGAATTTCATTTAAAAAAAAAAATGCTAATTACACTTTTTTTACGAGTGTTCATGCGCGAAAGTTCACCTGTGGCTATATTCAGACTCGCCAAGTTACGTCGGTCGTATTGTACTTAGCCTGACCATAAATACTGTTACAATTAAAAAAAAAATCTATTGCAAATAACATTTATTACTTTTACAGTGTGTTAGTTTAATACATAAATATAAAACAATTTAAAGTATAAAAAGCTTATTCGAAGTGGTCTCCATTGGCTGCTATACAGTCCTTTAAACGTTGAGGCCAGTTATCAATAGAAGCACGCACTCTTTCCATGGGAAAATTTTTCACTGCCAATCGTACGGATTGTTTTAGGGACGTAAAAGTATGGCTCAGGCACTCCTTCATAGCTAATACTCCACCAAACCATCACTGAAGTCGGATAGTGCCCACGTTGCACTCTGTCGACTAATTGGGAAGCTTCCTTAGAGCTTTGAGCATAAATACGGTCATTTTGTTTCTTAAAATGTTGCTCAATTGTAAAAATTTTCTCATCCGTAAACAAATTTTTTCTATGACCTCCCTTTGCGTACCGCTTCAGTAGTTGTTTCGATTTTACCACCCAATTCTGTTTTAAATTATCAGTTAAGAAATGAGCAGTACGTCTTTTAAAGGCTGCAAGTCTTAAGTCATCTTCTAAAATACTCGACATAGTTCTAGGTGCTATCTTTATCTCCCGAGATAAAATATTTTGCTTTCAGACAGGATTTCTTCGAATTCTTTCCCTTACTGCTTTGACCACCTTTTTCGTACAAACACTATGTGGACGGCCAGATCTTTTTCTGTCACAAACAGAGGAGGTCTCATTGCACTTATTAATAGCCCGGTACACAAACATTTTACTAATACCAAGTGTATGGAGAGTTTTAAAAATTTTATTTGGCTCCATACCTACTTTGTGTAATGCAATCACAGCGATTCGGTTCTCTTTATCACCCCACTCCATTTTAATATCTCAAAATATTGTACAATGTATTGGCGCCAAAATGAGAAAACTCAATGAGCAATCATATAAAAATGACATTCTAAATTCAAATGTAATATTTTGTTTATTTTTAATTGTAACAGTATTTATGGCCAGACTAAGTATATTTGAATATCATCTTTATAAAAAACACCTTCACAAGTAATGCTTTATTTTAGAACAAATTTGTTTAACATAAAAAACATTTTATGGCTCACTAAAATGTTTTTTATGTTAAACAAATTTGCTACAAACCTTAATATATAGACATAAGCTATCTACGGACTTTTTTTTAGATTTTTTAAAGGGGAACAATTCTCTCATACATTACTTTAGCGAAACTTTAACCGTCTCCACAGCGCACGCAGTGGAATCTCACAAAACGAAAAAAACCCCAATTTTGCAACATTCTTTATTGGTGCTCCATTTGTATTGATCTTAGTGTGATGTTATATAGCCTATAGCCTTCCTCAATAAATGGGCTAAAAACTGTTTCAAATCGGATCAGTAGTTCCTGAGATTAGCGCGTTCAAACAAATAAACTCGTCAGCTTACAATATTAGTATAGATTAACATTTTACCTGCAACTACTGCTCTACCCTCATATTTCTTCCAATCTTTCTTCAGTTGATAGTAAAGTATGGCAGATCCCATAATAACTACTATTGAAATTATAATAGCTGCTAGTTTTACAGCATCAATAGGGGTAAATGCACTAGAGACTAGTATTTCCACTTCACTTACTGCATATTGTAAACCATCAAGACTCTTTGATATGCACATATAGGTTCCAGAATCTGCTTGAGTAACTTTCTGAAATGTTGAGACATATATTTTTTAAATTGTAATTTATAAAAGTGTTAGCAAGTTACCAAGACTCAATTAAGTTCAGTAACAAAATATAAAAAAATAAATTATAAAATAAATTGATGTCATAAGTTATCATCAGTAAAGCCATTGATATTGAAGAGAATGATAATAAATAAAGTTCATTTAACTATGTTTCTAATTGTTCTTGTAGTCATATCTTGAAATATATCTAATGAATACATGCAAACCAGTGTAAATTTTCGTGTTTTAAGCTGGGAAGTGGCACTTAAATTAATCCTTCATTTCCAGTGTCACACACCACTGCACTGGTGGTAGTAATGGAAATTTTAGAGCTGGCCAAAGGGTGGTGGCACACACCAACTTAGACATGTTAATACGAAAACATCTCTTATCCAGTAGCATATTCAAAATTTGAAATTTTTTTGGCATGAGATGATAACTAACAAATAGCTGTGGAGGATCACCAACCAGGCACCAATGGAGATGGAGATCCTTACGCGGAAGTGCCATTGGAATGGTCACATATTAGAAAAGCCACCCATCTATCTAGAGAGCACTGACCTGGAAAGTGTCTGGCAAAAGGAAGAGAGGCCGTCCCAGAGTAGCATATTCAGTAACCACATTTTGACCCACTGCTAAAAACGTCTACAATCCCTACTGTAATATAATTTATATAAAGTAAAGATATGTGATAAGCCCAGCCACTGGGCCCATAGAGGTTTGAAATATTATGCAATAAGACCTATCAATTATTGCCATAAAATAAATAAAATATAAATAATCTTAAAACCTAGTCTTGACAACACATTCATTGGTTTCAATGCAGACTGGCCATAAGCAAAGAGCTTCCTATCCTAGAAACAACTACAACAAAAAGTTTGAGGGTAACTAGTTCTAAAGTAAATCATTACACACAGACCTTAATACAATAAACACTTATTATAATTAATTAGCATTGCAGACAGTTCTATTTTGAGAATTTTATCTATTACTAATTCACTAATTTTTCTTATTTTCTAATACTTACATTAATATTAAGTTTCCCTGATAAAACTTCATATTTATACTTTTTATCATTGTAATCAATTCCTGAACTTATGATTGTAGTTTTGTTAAAGAGCCAGAATAAGAAAATATGATTGAAGTCATTACTAGCACAGTTCAATGCAGCATTATTACCTTCAGCTATTGTCATCTTCATTGTTTCTAGTTTTATTTATTTTCTAGACGAATGAGTCTTCTTCCAACATACGTAATAGAGTTTTTCACCACTTGAGTAAGATTATTATATCACCAAAACTTCTGATGCTGCCACAAAACATTTGAGAAGAGCAAACATCGGTATTACTGAATGCGTGCCAAGTTTATAATTATCTTTACACAGTCATGAAGTCACATGTCCTTCCCCTCAATGCACAGTATTTATTGCTTCCTATTAAGTATGCTTCGAACCATTTTAATACCTACTACTTCCACTGGAGTGTTTGATCAAATGCATGAACACTTCAATACAGAGAACTGGCAGTAGCATCCATATAGGGGTCATTACCACATAAATAGGTAAATAAACTCTATTATATTCCAATTTTATACAAATTATTATTTGTGCAGCCATTTTCAGTCCAATTGCGGCTATGTACCACACATTTTTATTAATGGTTCCTCTAAATCTTTCAATGCCATTTCTGCAGTGTGATACCATATGAAAAAGTACGTAGATCAATAAAATACTATCGTACACCCACATTGGAATAAAAACGATGAACCAATTCCAATGTGTTCTAGACTCTAATCTCAGACATAGCAAAATAAGAAAAATCAAAAATATAAACCAAGTAAAAAGGGCCCTATGTAGAATAGCCATTGTTGAATAATTAGATTTTCCAAGCCCAATCAATAACACAAGATTTCTAACTCGTCTACCTATTTGTACTCTATTAATAAATCTTGAAATTTGTCACAGATTTGTAAAGTTGTTACTACGTGAAATTTGTTGGCATGAGGCATCTATCCATCTTTAAAGCGAGTTTATAGATAATACAAACAGTTATTACAATTTACACATTATTTAAAGCGAGTCACAATGTACCGTTTAGAATAGTTTAGATATATAATAAGTGTATAATCTATGGTTTAGATGTAATGAGAAATTATTTTCCTTCGGGAAAACTCGGATCTTTATCGGAAATAATCGGAATACGATGACAACCGAACTGTTTTTTTTAAAGGGATTTTATGACCTGGTAACTGAGATCTTTAAGTCACGTCTTATTTTAATTTATATTAATATTTTTATGAAAAATGATATTATGGAGTGAAATGAAATGAAGATGATTAATTTGAGACATTAATCAACTGGGATGAAATTAAATGAAATGAGATGATATGGGATGAAATATAATCTCAGTAAAATGGTGGTCATTTACTAAGATTTTTTCAGTGGAGTTTTTGGAGGATCCCGAGAAGTTATGTTCTCAAATATATTAAGTGTATAATCTATGAGTTATGTCCGTCCACGAAGAAACACTAAATAGACAAAATAAAACAAATCAATCACTCCTCGCGTTCCCGCCAAAAAGTCTCAACCGAACTGTCAATGAATGATAGCATAGATTATACACTTAATATATAATGATAGTATTACATCATATTTTGCCGGCCACTGACATGCGCGAAAATATTCGTACATTGTACGAATGTTTGCGCGCATGTGAAGGGCCGTCAAACATTCATTCGCAAACCTAGCGGCTGTGCAAATGAGTTCGCATACTCAATTTGCGAACCCGTTTGCGCTTCCTCCTAGACTTGTTTACGAATGTCTCACGAATTTCTCCTCCTTTTTAATTCGTCAATAGAACATTGAAGAGAAAAAGAGTTTTTAATTCTTTCCCAGACATCATTAACAGCCATGCTGTTTTTATGGGGTTTCTTTTGATGAAGATACGCTACACAGTAGACGTCACGAACTATGAAAATGGCGTATAGTATACGTCCGTTACCTTCGCAATCGTCGGCGCAACTGGGCAAGCGATTGTGTAGGAGACTACGCGAAGGTTCGAGGTTCGCGCGCTTTGATATCTGTTAAAAAACCGACACAGCTTGGAAAACCACGAAAAACTTTGCATAATCATTCGCAAATGTCGTCCTCCACTTGCGTATTCGTGCGCATGTGAGTGACCGGTGTTACACGAGTAACACTTTCATTTCCATTATTGAGTTTCATACACTGAAGTAGGAAACCTAGTTTCATACTTCAGTGTTTATTGAGGAACTTTGTGGGAACTTTATTGCTTAGTGTCAAATTTCAAAATGAAAATGTCATTGTATAAAATTAGTTTAGTTAGTAAAAAATTAGTACATTCTTATTTCATTAGTTTTTTTTACTGAACCGACAAAGAAAAAATTACCCATAAAACCAAATCTAAACAAAGTCAAAAACATGTCAGTTTAATAAAATGTGAAATGGAATTAAATAATGCAACAGATTTATTTTTATTGCCCTTGCAGGTAGACAAGCATATGGCCTGCCTGATGGTAAGTGGCTACCGTTGCTCCTGGACATCAGCAATGCCGGGGCACAGCCAAGCCGCTGCCTACCGTTGCGTACTTTCCCTAAGTCTATATATATATATATATTATATATAGCGTTCGGGAAACACCGTAGAGGGAAGTTCATTCAAAAGCCGGATGGTACATGGCAGAACTCTTCTCCGATAACGGGTGATGTGATTATAAAATTAATATTATGGGATCATCTGAAACAATACATCAGAGCACACCCTATGGGACATACGATACAAAACCCAGAGACAATCGAAGTCTCTCTGTAGACAGAGAGCTCCAAGCGATACATGCGAACGGGATTATGGACAATCCGAACGTCTCTCTTCTGTATGAAGTCCAATGGAAATTATCTGATAGTATTTGAGAGCCCCGGCCCAGAGGTGAGAGCAGTACTCCACGCAAAGCCGGAATTGCTTTGTAGGGCCGAATTTGTTTTATAAAGCAAAAATCTGTATCCAGGTGTGAAGTACCAAACAGAAGTTTCGATAGTTTTTCCTGCATCATAATGAATGATGGCAAGAAAATAATTAACTCTTCTCATGACTGTTTTCTTTGAATTGATTTTGATTCAATTTTATTTGAGCCGGAATATATTTTAATTAAATAACTTTTATAAAATTAAGTGATTTATGTATCTTGCCAAAAGAGCGAGCGCATCTTTTACGGGATAGTTTCTTATTTCTTCATGTAGTTTTTAAACTAAGATTTATTACGGGTGTGATACAGACTAAATTACTGAAAATATCAGTAAATAAGAAAGAGATTAACACATACCTATTTTATCATATCGCACAAATACTGTTTCAATTTGTCTTATCTCAGCTCAAATTTAATTTATTTCGTTCCGTTTTACTTTTTATACAACACTTATAGCTGTAGTCTTTATTTTTTACAAGAGTATGGTCTAGTACCTCTTTGCCTAATATATTGATGTATTTAAATAAACAACTACCGCTGTCAATTTCTCATGTCAAAAAAATATCAATAATTCATGTTATTTTCGTCTGGGTTATTTTAAATGTAGAAAAAAGAAACAATTTATTTAAACATTTATTAATTCAAGCACATATATAATTTATCTGATACTACTATCACAATGGCTTCTCCTTTAGAACAATTTGTCAACAATGTGAGGACAATGTCGGCATCAGGTACCGTGCTATTATAATTCATGGAATAAAAAAAGTAGGCACCTGACACAATCGCAATCATAATATTATAATAAACCTGATTCTTTTTCAGTAAACAAATTTATTGGAATGTATTAGAACGTCACTAAATCAAACTTCATGGTACAATGTCTATCTTTCAGGTAATTTTCGCGATTTATATGAGATTATTGCAAAATCAGATGAAGTGTTGCAGAGGAATAGCTTCCACCTCAATACAGTACTTGAAACTCTTGATATCCAACAGCATTCATTAGGTGTTTTAGCAGTCCTGGTGGCCAAATTTTCCTTGCCTCCGGTAAGTGTTTTAATTATGCATTCTAACTTTACATAAATTATTACAATGGCCTTAAAGTGTAATTGAAATCTAAATGTATGTTAAGTCTAACTTAAACTGTAACAAAATCTATATATTAATACATGAAGCAAGAACTTTGTATCCCTTTTTAAGAAAATTGCGCGGACGGAGGAGTATGAAATTTTCCACACTTATAGAGAATATACAGAAGAAGTGCATGATGCTAATATATTTTTTAAATAATGCATAAAAGATAGATTAAATCAATAAAGAAAACATTACACACACTACGTACTGTGTATTTGACACACACACATGCATACTATTTATTGTCAAACTTTTGTTCTTGACGTCTGTTGTCAAATTGAGATTAAATATTGTTTGTCTTTGTTAATATTTTTTATAGTGTAGTCTTGGCGAAATTTGTGATTATAGAAGTATAAAATACAATCATAATAGTGTAAAAACTTACAATTCCAATTAATTATAGTCGAATTTCGACTACTGCGGGACCTCTAGTATCACTAAATATTCACAGCAATAATTGTAACATATATTATATACATTTTATATCTATCAAGGCATTTTATACCTAAACTCAAATTAAATAAATAATAGTTTAAAAAAAACTAACAAAATACGCTTTTGTAGAAAATCCAATTAAAAAACAGAAAATAAATTTGATTTAAAAATGGTGTAAGAAAAAAATATTTTATTGTAAAAAAGCATGGGGTGCATGGTGCATGCATGGTAAGGGGGTCAAAATCATGTTCAAAGATTCTGTTACATACTAACAAAAAAATCTGTAGTAGTATTTTTATTGATACTGACAAACTTAATGAGGTCCAATATTAATTTGAAAAAAATATCCCGTAATAATATAATGTTAACTTAGGTTTTCTTTTTGTTTTGAACTGTATAATGTTCTACAGCATGAAATAAACTGTTAATCACATATTAACTACTTTTATTTCTGTCTTTTTCTGAATCAATATAACTTATGTACCTTACAGGGCAATCCAGAAGTTGATAGGTCAACTATGTATCAACAATTTCATGATTTTATCAATAACTGCAATGGTGAACAAGTTCGATTTGCAACTGATTTATGTAAGTCTGCTTTTCATTTTGTCAATCTTTTTTAGTCAAAATGCTGAACCTCTATATATTTTACCTTCTTTGATATCTCTGAAAACTAGAGTTGATCCTGCTCATAGCCTATTAGTATAATAGTAGCCTAGTAGTATAATCATGAGTGTTTCATAGTTCAGTGTGTGATTGTAAATACTTAAATTTTATCAATCAATTTATGTATAATACTTTATCAGTAGCATCTTTTGTGTATAAGCTGTGTGGCTGTGTGGTCTAATATTTCAAGTTAAAAACTGAGAAAAAAGTTTAACACAAACTCAATAAAATAAAAAAAAATACTTGTTAATAAAATAACCGTCATTTATTACAATATTTAATTATAGACAATCATAAGAAATATTTTCTATCTCTGAGTGCAAGGTCAGTAATACTCACGAATAACCTGTTATTATGCTAGTCACTAGCAGCTAGTGTAATTAATTCAATTTAAATATTAAAATTAATTTTTTCATTGGTCTATTTCTTAAAAAATAATATCTTATCGCTTTCTCATCTTAACTTAGCAAAATAATTTAAATATGTATAAAAATAAATTAAGTATTTTAGATTTACGCCTATGTAATGGTTTTACAAATATTTATTGATTTAGATCTGCTTCTGATCTGTTATGTTTTGAGGGACGGGTCAGATGAACAATCCCATCACTGACCTATAAAGATTTTTTATGCTCATGAATCATCATTGATCTAGCATAACAGTCAAATCTTTCACTTGCTTCTCATTATCAGTATTATGTTTTATTCTTATGAAAAGGAGTACAATTTTCCTCACTAATACACTATTCTTCTTCCTCGTCCTTTCCTATTAGTTAATTATTAATCACTCTATTTATAAAATGCTTGAAACACAAAAAAAATTACTGTTAGAATGGCATATTGTTAGACCACTAGTCCAGTCCAGTCAAGTCCACTTAGTCCTCCAGACATGCAGTCTAGTTAGAATAGTGAAATAGCCTCTATATAATTCATAAAAAAAAACTTCAACCTTGTCTTAAAGTCATTTGTGTAATTTGTATTTTGAGTTTATGGGCTGCAGTAATCATTTAATACCTGTAGGGCTTTGAGATCCCTGTCTAGAGCAATACAAAAACGATTGTATTGTATTTAATTTCTAAAATTACAGATGCAGATTTGTGTCATCTACTCACAAATCATTTGGTAGAAATCAAACAACCAATAAGGGGCCTGGAAATATTAAAAAAGGCTATAAGAAAGATACAATTGTTTGATTCACAGCTGACCTCAATTCATGCTGATCTTTGCCAGCTCTGTTTGCTCTCAAAATGTATGAAGCCAGCTCTTGAGTTTTTGGACACTGACGTCACTGGGATTGGCAATGAGGTAAAGTGTAGCCTTTTAATCCTCTTTATTTGTCTTCATTCTTTAAAAATGATTATGATAGTGTTACCTCTGAAGGATTGGCGACACGAGAACCCTCTCATCGTGGCCGCCGGTAACTACATTCCAGATCCTGCGGACAGAATGGAAAGCAGTCGACGTCGCCCCAAACACGTCATTTCGGATCCTCCCGATCCACTAACGGTGCTTCTAGGTACCTCAAGCACCGGTCATCGGTCTCGTCGAACCGGTCGCTTGCGACGAAGGGCTTGACAAGTAAATTAACCCTCAGACACAGCCCACTGAGTTTCTCGCCGGATCTTCTCAGTGAGTCGCGTTTCCAATCCGGTGGTCGATTCTGCGAAGCACGGCTCTTGCTAGGGTTCGTGTTAGCAATATCGTCAGGTTTGAGCCCCGTGAGCTCACCTACTAGTTAAGGTTACGCTGAAATAGCCTCTCAAGGCTCTCAGCTAGCTAGAAAAAAAAAGGGTTGGTAGTAGAGTAAACATATTACATTTTTTTTTTATTGCTTAGATGGGTGGACGAGCTCACAGCCCACCTGGTGTTAAGTGGTTACTGGAGCCCATAGACATCTACAACGTAAATGCGCCACACACCTTGAGATATAAGTTCTAAGGTCTCAGTATAGTTACGACGGCTGCCCCACCCTTCAAACCAAAACGCGTTACTGCTTCACGGCAGAAATAGATGGGGCGGTGGTACCTACCCGTGCGGACTTAAGAGGTGCTACCACCAGTAAATATTACAGATTTACGAAGTACGAAAAGAGAGAACACTTAATTAGCGTATATTTTTTATTATAATTAAATATTAGTGTTTCGGTAGCAATGGTTGATCATCAGGCTATGACTATTTATATATTTATTAATAATATAATAAATTAATAGTATAATTACTATTAACTTATTATATTATTAATATTATTAGTTATAATAATATAATTATATTATTGAACTAAACTATATTTCATAACTCTAGCTAACAAAACTTCATTTGTTCTAGCTTGGCGGTATTAATGATTCCAAACATTTTCTACTATATTATTACTATGGGGGCATGATTTATACGGCAATGAAAAACTATGATAGAGCTTTGTATTTCTTTGAAGTTGTAGTGACTGTTCCGGCAATGGTTGTATCCCACATCATGTTGGAAGCATACAAGAAATATATTTTAGTGTCTCTTATACTTCATGGAAAGGTACGTTACTCCTTCCAATGATACCTTCAACCTCAATTTTAAACCCATACAGTGAGCAGGACTTTTACTAAAGCCATAACTTAATATAATTTTTAATAAGCATGTAATCAAGCTATGCTAAAAATACATGTCGTACCATTGGAAGATCAAAACCGAAGAATCCAATTTTATGTTATGTTGTTTTCCTGGCTATACAAAAATTTTGTATAAAATAATAATTGCATGACATGATAGAATTGTTTGGTTTTCATTTCCATTTCAAAAATCTATTTAATAAATTTTTTATTCCTATAATGTACTTTTAGTTTTGTTCTTATTAGACAAAATGATTTAAGTAATAACTCTTTTTAAAGGTTTTGCCAATGCCGAAATACACATCTCAAGTGGTTTGTCGGTTTTTGAAACCGTTGTCAGCGCCATATCATGATTTAGTGGCATCCCAACATGCTGCAAGCAAACACCGCGAGATATTTGTCAGAGACAAGAATATGGGACTAGTTAATCAGGTCTGTTTTGAAATAATAGCTTTAGATTAAATAGAAAATTTTATTTATTCGATTGATAATGACTTACTAACTCAAATGCAGTGTAATTAAGGTAGTGTTTTATTTTGGAAAATATGAATAGTCTTTTATAACTATTTTTTTTTAAGGTTTTAAATTCAATGTATAAGAAGAATATTCAGAGATTGACAAAAACATTTTTAACGCTTTCGTTGAGCGATGTCGCTTCTCGCGTGGAATTATCTGGGCCTCTTCAAGCGGAAACATACATACTTAATATGGTAAGATCAATAACATTAGGTATCTTGAAAAATTTTTGTAGAACTATGTTCTGTAAGACGTGCAGTTAGTTTTATTAATAAGGGAAGCTTGACAGTATACAAACGTTCTATGATAAAATAAATAATTAACATAATAATATGATATTGGCGTTTTGTACGGGAGGAATAAAGAGTCAATTTATTTTTGTAAAATATATTTAATTGATCAAAGTATGCACCGTTGTTATCTATGCACTTTTGCTATATCATAGGTAGTGCATTAATTCCTTTACTAAAAAAACCATGGGGGCGAAAATCAATAAACTCTTTGAAGGCGGTTTGGATTGCCGGATCGAAGTTGAATTTTTTTCCTTGTAAGAAGCTGTCTAAATCCCGGAAAAAAAATGGTAATATGTCGGAGCAAAGTCCGGGGAATACGGTGGATGTCAGTGGCGTAGGCGATTAACTAATCTCAGTTGTTTAGCAGCTATTTCTTCCTTTATGGTTTGCAGTTGCTGACAATAGATATCTGCCGTAATCGTTTGGCCAGATTTTAGAAAACTGTAGTTCAAGTTTTTTACTTTCCCGATTTGCTTCAAGTGGATTTATACAGTTTTATCACTTACCCCGAAGCCTGCAGCTATCTCTGAATTGCTTTGTGATGAATCCGCTTCCACAATAGCCTTTAATTCTTCAATTTCCACTGTGGTCTCCGGTCGTCCACGCGATTGTTTCTGAAGGTCGAAATTTCTAGAACGAAAACGTCGAAACCAAAACCGTACCGTGCTTTCTTTTGCCACACCAGCGCCGTACGCTTCATTAATCCTTCGAGCTGTTTCTGCAGCACTGGTAGAACTCGTACTCGTAAATATGCATGCAACATTTCATGTTTTCCATTGTGCGGTAGGTAATAAGCGACGCTAAAGAAATAAATATATAAAGAAAATAAAAATAAATTACTGTTTTCAAAACTCAAACGTATAGTAGGTACTGGGCAAGAAACAATTCACATCGACCTCTAGAAAGAGACATTCGACTAATTTCAGCTTTACAGTACAAGAGTTACACGGCACAAAACTTCACATTTAATGTTTTTCGACAGATTGAAGAAGGCGAAATATATGCAATGATTAACCAAAAAGATGGTATGGTGGTGTTTCTAGATAGTCCAGAAAAATATGCATCACCGGAAACATTGTGTGTCTTAGAACAGCAAATGGCTGCTTGTACTAAACTTCACCAGTACATACAGGAAATGGATGTTCAGATACAAGTCAATCCACAGGTAACAACCGCTCTGGTAATCATTAACTGAGTATCGAACTTTATAAACGAACTGTTTTCATATTTTCTTATTTTTACTTCCTAACTTTTCATTATTTTTGGTCACCATCTGTAATTATCAGTCCTTTCGAAAAGAATAATCCAAGTTAATTAAAATTTAAATTCTTTTTTTTCGTAATCCTATGTATTTTCTTACAAAAGTTGGACCTGAACTGCTGCATAGTTGCTTTGCTTGATACAAATAGAATGCATGTCTCCTATTTTAAGCTAGGGAGATTTCTCAAAGTTTCGTTTTTGTTTTTTCTACTATGTAATTAATTTATTAAATAATTACAGTATGTGAAGAAATCAGTTGGAAGTCACGATGAAGATATGCCCGGCACAAGTCAAAATACGAAGACAACATACACAATGTAATATAAGTTATTTGTTGTATGCTAAGAATAAAAGTTTTCTGTATTAACAAGCAAATTCTTTAATTCCCAACCATATAACATGCATAAAAATATTCTTCTTATATAGCTTCATGTACTGTTTCAGTAAAAACAGTCATACTCTCAAGTGGGGTTTGTGGTGTAATCCCATGACCCAAATTAGCTATGTATCTATGTTTTCCAAACTTTTTCACCATTTCAGTTGTAAGTGTTTTTATTTCTTCCTGCAAAGAAATAATTCTTAAAAACATGTCTAATTTCATCTTAATTTCTTGTTAATTCGATTTTACTAATGTAAATAAAGTAAAATACATGAAAAGTGTAATTTCTTAAATTTAGTTATTGCGTTAAAAAGTATTTTGTTTTTCAAAGTTAAGTTTAAGACAAGCTAAAATGAATAACTACGGCACATTAACTCAGGTTTAACAAAAAAAAATTTTAAATCTGGGTTTTATAAAAAAAGCTTGTCATCGTTATTCATGACACTGAAATGAATGAAATGAAAGTTTACGTCACCAGAAGAATTTATAATACATTACGTACAGGAGTTTTGTATAAATCCTGAGGATCAAGATTTCCTTGCAAAGTAATGTTTTCACCTACAATTTTCCTGGCTTCAGTAGGATCCACTGTCCAATCTAGTCCAATGGTTTCATAACCTAATTGAGCTTGAATATCTAAGGAATGTCCAGCTCCTTTTGCAAATATGGTCTGAAAATAATATAATAAGTATTCTTAATTGTGTGATTATCTCTAGAGCATGTTATTTACAAGTTATTTTACTATAAATAACTTACCATAGGAACCTGTTCTAAAGATTTTTCTGTAAGTTTAGCTCTAACTCCACTTCTAATGTCTTTCAAATATGGAATAGAAAACTCAGTAAATTGTTCTCTTGAGAGGTGATCTGCACTTGATTCAAATACTTGCAGAAGTTGCGCTCCACTCTCCACCTTCAGTTATACATGCATATACATATAATTATATACATTTCCATTTGAACAAATATATTTGATTTTCAAGATACATTAAGATCGATTATGTTTTTAGCAAAAAATATACTATTTCAAACTTACTTGCATCACCACATAGTCAATTATAACATTAGTAAGAAGACAAAGGAGTCTATGGACATCTTTAGGATACTTCTCGAGCCATTCTTTTGTTTTAGACATTGTTTTGCTTCCTCCACCCTCTAGCATGTATCCAAATAGTGTAAACTAAAATTTTATCCCAAAATTAATTAAATACATGAGTATATTTCAATGGCATCAAATTATACCTAAATATTTGTGATATTTACCGGAGCTCCAGTAAAGCCAATCAAGGGAACTTTACCATCTATTTTATGTCTTGTCAGTGTGATAGCCTTTCCAACATAATCCAACCTTGAAACTGCACCTTCTGGTTGGAGACCATCTATTTCTGATGGGGTTTGAAGTGGTTTAGGAAATACTGGACCCTAGAAATACATTTTTTTGTAATGATGTCAAGAATGGGTAGAGCATTTTTAAATTGGATTTTACTTACGACTCCAGGGTGCATTTCAACAGTCATGCCGAGTGCTTGTGGTATCACAAGAATATCACTGAATATTATAGATGCATCCAAGTGCTCATACCTTCTGAGCGGCTGCAGTGTTACTTCACAAGCTAATTCTGGAGTTCGACAAACCGTGAAAAAATCGTGTTTAGCTCGGACTTCCTGAAATTCTGGTAAATATCTTCCAGCTTGTCGCATTACCCAAACAGGGACTTTGTCAACACTTTTTCCTAAAGCTGCTCGAAGTAGTCTATCATTTTTTAATTCTGGAAAATTCTGAAGGAAATTCAAAGATTTTGTTAATAGTGAAAAGTCTAGTAAAATGCACAAAAGCAAACTGCTATTACCTTGTTAGAGTACTCCATGTTATGAATGAAAGATTTTGATTAAAAAATAATTAACCAGGTCCAAATTATGAATTATGAGTAAAATAAAAAAATCTATTAATTTTAATGTATGTACATTTAATGTATTGGCCGACTTGGTTTATCCAGCTGATTTTAATGAGTTTTGTTTTCTTTTTATTTATTTTTAATATTATATGGCCTTGTAACAAGACCTTTAAGCCAAGTTTTATATTCCGTTATTATATGGATATGATAGCGAACTGAGATGCAGTTGATTATTTTGAGACTTTATCAATTGGAATGAAATTAAACATAAAGTCTCAGTAAAAAGGTTAATACTTTTTAAGAGTTTTTCAGTGAATTTTTTGAAAAAAACCGATTAGCTATGTACGTTCAGTAGCTTTGTTATTTTACCACATTTGTGGACTTTCAAAGATACTCAATAGTTAATAAGCCACCGTTATTACACAGTGAAACTTAAAGAAACACTAATTGAAAAACATAAAAAATTCAAACAAATTCACTCTTCGCACTCCCGCCAAAAAGGTCTGAGTTTTTTAAATCGACATAAGATTACTGACACTGACATCAGATATCAAACACTGCTGTCTTACAAGTTACGATATGTGCTATTAGGTTTCATACGTCAGTGGCTATATTTAACAACTATGCGTAAGTTGTAAGAAGCTTGAGAGACTATTCTTAAATATTAAATTACTATTTTATATAATATAATTATTATTTATATTATTATCTATGGACAATATTATGTACTAGCTTCACCGAACGTGAGTGAACGTGAAAAGCTTGAGGTTACTAGCTACTGAGGCTGGGTAGCCAGGGTAGCATTGCAAAGGGCCACTAGTATGATTGCGACGCGACGTGGACATAGCGAACCATGCGCGCTGTTTTATCTGTCTCTTTGGTTCATTGTGGACGAGCAGCGTCTTGTCTTCGATGCAGAAGTAGGGTTTGACTTAGGTACCGCAACGGAGAAAATCAAATCCGTTACTGTTCACTCACAGCAGAAACGTACCATAGTCTACCTTCGCAAGCACTAAAAAAAGCACGCTATATCACAATGTCATATTCGACCGCGACGGGGTAACGCAAAACTGCCGTCGCCCGAAACATGTTTTGTCGGATCCCCAGGATTCACTCTCGGGTTTTTTAGGCCTCTCAAGCACCGCCCCCCGTCCTTGTCGAACTCGACGAGCGAACTAACCTACAGACACAGCTCACTAAGTTTCTAGCCGGATCTTCTCATTGGGTGGCGATTCCGATCCGGTGGTAGATTCCGCGAAGCACTGCTTTGGCTGGGGGTAGTGTTAGCAAATACTCCCAGGTTGAACTCGTGCGCTCACCTACTAGTCCGGGCGTAGCTGGAATAGCCCCTTAGGCTACCAGCGAATAGGTAGGGAGAGAAACACAATGCAGTAGGTACATTCGCAGAGTTATAGTTCTGAAATCTTATTCCTTCATCGTAAAATTTATTCGTGTAGAATGCTACATTGTGTAATCATTTGTTGCAATTTTTTTTATTGAGTAGGAACGTCTCACATTTCAACGATTTTATTTGCATAACTGGCACTAAGAGGTACCATGGTGTCTATTATAACTTCAATGCCTCTCAGAGCACAGAGATTCATAGTGCTAGTTGTTTCAAGAAGACTAATCTATTCATTCATTTTTTATTATATTTCTATACCGAAAACCGTGTCCGTTTGGTGTTGCTTAGACTAAAACCAGGCTACTTCTTAACGTGAATGTCGTTAAAGGCGAGGTTATAACAGCTAATAGAACGGGCAGGAGTGTTCTTTGATTGTCATACCAGTGTCCTGCGATATTTAATCAGCATCTACTGGTGGAAGGGCGTATTGTCTTCACAGCGCCTATTTCTGCAGAGAAGAAATCGTACATTTATACATTCTTACTTTATACATTTCACTATAATGTCATTCATCATAAAAAAATGTAAATCTTAAAATACCTATGCAAAGTTTGCGAGATTTTTCGTCTACCTGCCGCACCGCACCTATCAAAGTGAAAAAAAATAAAATAAATGAGAGGGGTCTACGATAACAAAGTTTTTGTAAAGCGACACAGGGCGACCTTTCACAATATAGTATTTTTTGTATCAAACCTTTATCCCACTTTCCTAATAAAGTTTATTCGCTTTAGATAAAAAAAAAAAACTGAGATCGGATTTTGAGTGACTTCGGAATTTTAAAAATAAATTCGAATATTATGATTTCGTATTTATTTCGTAGTGAAAAGTTATGTTCTTCTGACTTATCAAAGAAAGTAAGAAAAATACTACATAGGTAGGTACGTTTTAAAATTATTTTTTAACCAATATTGTGTGTTTTAACTAATGTGTGAACAGTTCGTTAGTTATATATCAAAGATCATTATCATCAAGCTTAAAGGATTCTGATTTTTTTTCTTTGCTTTCTAGACGTTGCTCACTTGTTTCCCGAGATTATTGAAAAGTGATTATCCACCTTTAGATAATAGGTATGTACATAATATGTGGTCTAATTGTTATATGTAACGATGAGTTCGTTTGCCCATTAAATAAAATAAATAAGTTACTCATGGGTTATTGGCATCAGTAGTTGCATAGTCGCCAGTGTTGATTTTGTGGACTGTTCGGAAATAAAGGACCACTTATGGAAAGATGCAGTGTAAAAGCACGTCGCTTTGGATTAAACACAGTTGCATTTATTAAACAAATTTCGATAGACTGAGAAACAAAAAATGTTATGCAATCCTCGGATTAAATAAAAAAAGAATCATGCAGGTGCAGTGTGACTTGCGCATTCTGTATGTAATGTTGTGAGACAAATTTTGCTAGAGATTTCATTTTGCTGGGTGCAAATGTAAAGGATCACAAACAATAACGCCGAGCTTCATTTTTAAATCACGTTATTATACCTACTACGAAATTAAAAACAAAATAAAGTTGGTGCGATTTGGATCGCTTTGCTTCTGGTATTGCCAATATCTATAAAAACTGAATTGAAGGCAAAAGGTGGTTAGACGTCATAATTTAATTTGTTTTTGAAATAGTGTGGGAAACCATTTTTTATACGAAAGAACAAAGGGAGTCAGAAAAGATTACACGCAATAATTTAAGGCGATCCCGTTATGATTAAAAAAGTTTTCGTTGAAAAAAATTAATGGCTCGTGTATCTGCAATTTCTTTTTCGATTTGTGTTTTTTTTTTTGCAATTAGCCATAAAGTTCGACGAGCTCAGTAGGGGAGGTCCGATAGAATGAGTTTTGTGTTTTCTGTCGATCAGTTAGAAGTTATGGAATATTGTTAACTTATTTTCATAAAAATAAATGATTCGAATTGAAAGAATTCAGATCCAGGATCCTAAGCTGAAAGGTGCTTCAACATCTTGAATAAACAAAATTCAGGGCTTAGATTACATAGAACTAGTCTGTCGGTCAAGTTGGTAGCTGCCATCAGCTCGATGTTTCAATTTATTGATTTAATAATTTAAAGATTTGAAATACATACATAAAGCTTGCAATACCTTTTACCTACTAGGCATAATAGATGAACATCATTATTTTAGTAGAGTAATGTAAACAATTGTTAAATTCATATGATAAAAGCCAGTGATGCTCACAATATGATAGGTCTATTTCTAAGTCTACACGAAGGAAGGTGCACAAGCGCGGCGGTATGGCGGCAATAGCGAACAATTGCCACTAATGCAGGCTCAATTTATTTACGAACCAGTCGCTAGGGGCGCATGTGGACAGAGACAGCATTGAGTGGAGAAGCAAATTTTCACATATTATTTTCAAAGATGTCAAGTCTGTAACCTCATTTTAATAATCATAAATCATAATAAATCACTATGAAAAAGGCGATGTTCATGGTTGGTTTAAAAAAAAACAAGTTATTTTTTTCGTTAAAACTAGTTTAATGGTTTAAGTTTTTTCCGATGTGTTTACTTATATAGAATTTTGTAGCCTTGTTTTTTTAATTGTATATTAGGTAAGAATTATGTTAAGAATTGCGTCACGTGAGAGTTGAGACATTAGAACAGCATCGACATCATAGACTAATCAAGATTTAAGTAATTGTCACTTATCTATTTCATTGTTCTATACAATGTAGCCTTTGCCTATTGTTGGTCTTATACGTGGAAGAAGATTTTAATTAGCAAATAAAAAACATGGCCAGATGAATATTTAATTCTACACTTATTTACGTTTTACTCGAAGGGTTTATTTATTATTTATTCATATTATCATTGAAGGTGACGCTTAAAACAATAAGCGATTATAAGTAGCAAACAGAGATCAACGACCTCATTTGCTTCTGGTAGGTACTTATTTGTACGCGGAAGGCGTTCAATTCATTGCTAACGAGCTACTCCAAGGTTTTCCTCGTTCGTTCGCAGGAGGAGGACATTGACTCAAGCAGTGTAAACAGTTCCTTATCTCAAGCTTCGCTGCAACGCCGCCGACGAGTCACTCGCAGCTTTTATCTAAAACAAAATTGTTGTTAGTAGATATTTTAAACACAAGTTTATTGTCGACTCGTTGCTAAGTAAAGGTACATTTTGTGTTTATGTTTGTGTGATAGTTGCTGCGAAATAGTTTTTTATGGTCAATAATTATGGTTAGCGAATAAAAATGAATTACAATATTGGCACACATTGACGTAGTCATTGTTCGAATGTAACCTCATCACGTTTCGAGTCATCGAGCATAAAAAGATTATGTAATCCCCTTAACCTAGGTGCGACAGCAGCTCGTCTGCGGGCCTAGTGAAATAAATAAATCTACACAGCCATAAATTGAAAAGCTGTACCTAAAACACAATTAATTAGAACGTGTGCAAACAGTGAAACTAAGTAAGCAGCGTCCGACGGTCGCAAGGCGTTCGTTAATTGACGAAAAGTTGCAGTCTAACGTATATTTTATGCGGAAGCATGGTTTCTGGGTTCCGATTATGATCTCGGGCAAGGCGGGTGTACTCTAGACACGGCTCACGTTGATAGCAGTAATTTAGAAAGCTGTTTTTTAGCCGCAAAGAGCAGATGCCCACCAATCAAAATGTGCATTGTACATTGGGGTTGTTTTAATCGACTAGTCATGACGTAACAGTGAATTAAATGAACGAGAATATTTGCTCGGTTGCGATA